CCAGTGGTCAAACTTCATGTTTCTTCTGGATAGTGTGCGCGTCTGCGATTCGTTATTGTCGTGCACTATCGTTAAAGACGTGGAGGAAATGCATTCCCTTAGGGTAAACAATTCAATGAAGCGACGCTCGAGTACGGTAGAAAGCGGATAATAAGCATCTCGCAGAACCCACCGAACTCTGTCGGCAAAAGCTCGTCAATGGAGCGACGATCCAGGATGAAAGAAGCCATGGCCGAGGGCTTTAGAGAAGCCAAAGCGTGGGTCCAGAGCCGGCCAGAAGTCATAAAAGCCGGCTGTCTCGCCTTAGCTCTCGCGCTCTTATTCATTATCTACGCTCCGGCGTTCTTCTTCGGGTTGCTCGTCGGTGCCTCCGCCGTGATCGGCGGCGAGGTCATTCTTTTGAAGCATCTTTGGGCGAAGATTCGTCCTCCGAAGAAGGAAGGTTCGGAAGCGGGGAACGCGCCTGCGCCGGATCCTGTACCGGAGGACCTTCTGGAAACAACTTCGATATTGAAAGAGGTTCGTTGATAATTACGAGTGCATGATACATTCTCTCTCTTAAGTTGTTGGAGCCTCGTTGCAGGATCTTCCGGAACCAGACGAACTTCTAGAAACTACTCTGGTTTTCAGGGGGGTGCTACTTCGTTCCCATCAAATGACCTGATAGCGTGAAAGCTTTTAGGCTAAGCACCGCTCAGCGAAGGCCTTTCCTGGTGATCGATGTTACTCTGGTTGTTACCCTTCATTGTAAATCCCTTTTCAGCTAGCTTCAGTAACCCTAATTGGTTTTCCTATCACAGAAGGTAGCGGTCGATGCGTCTATTCCCCAGTGGCCAGACGAGGGAACGACAGCGGCTAATATTCACTGCTCTTTCCTGCTCATCCCTGCTCATACCTGCCCTGGAATTCCAACGGATTTGACTTTGGCGTGTGTGCCTCCAAACAGCAACTTCATCTTCTCATCTCGGTCTGCCTTTTTTCCCTCTCCCGTGCAAGGCGGACGAGGCCAAGACGGGACACTAGATTCATCTTCCCTTTGCACCCCTCTCAACTCCTCATCTTCTGACTGCTGCAGAGCGTCGCGTGGGTTTCTCTGCGCTCGTGCGAGGGGGACGAGGGCAAGACGGGGTCAGGCAAGCTTCGCAAGAACGTGAAGCTGTGACACGCAGTAGCCCCAAACCCGAACGCCTGTGAAACCCCCTTTCCCCCCTGCGAGGTGCACAGAGCGTGGCGTGGGTCTCCCTCAGGCCATGCGAGGCGGACGAGGGCAAGACGGGGTCAGTAGATTCCTCTTCCCTCTTCACCACTCTCAACTCCTTCTCATTTCCCAACTACACAGAGCGTGGCGTGAGTCTCCCTGCGCCCATGCGAGGCGGACGAGGGCAAGACCGGTTCAGGCAAGCTGCGCAAGAACGTGAAGCTGTGACACACAGTAGTCCCAAAGCTGAACACCTGTGAAACCCCTTTCTCCCCCTGCGAGGTGCACAGAGCGTGGCGTGGGTCTCCCTGCGCCCGTGCGAGGCGGACGAGGGCAAGACCGGTTCAGGCAAGCTGCGCAAGAACGTGAAGCTGTTCGCGCCGCTGCTGCGCCTGGCGACTCTGGAGGTGGAGGAGCGGGTGCTGGTGCTGGCGGGCAGCCAGGGCGAGTCAGAAACGATCTTGCTGGATGGGTGCGACGTGAAGAGCTTCTCAGAGACCAGCGGGCCGGAGAAACGCTGGTGAGAGAGGGGATGAGAGGATGTTGAGAGGGGAGTGAGCAGGGAATTAGTGAGTGGGGAGAGGTTGGGGAATGGGTAGGGAGTGGTGGAGAGCGGTGGGTGGCAAGCTTGGAAGTGGAGGAGCGGGTGCTGGTGCTGGCGGGCAGCCAGGGCGAGTCAGAAACGGTCCCGCTGGATGGGTGCGACGTGAAGAGCTTCTCAGAGACCAGCGGGCCGGAGAAACGCTGGTGAGCGGGAGAGAGGAAGAGAAGAAATGCGTAGGGAATGGGTGTGGATCGATTGGGGGAGTCAGTGTGTAATGAATGGGGAGTGAGTGGGGAATGGTTGGGGGATGGTGGAGAGGGGTAGGTGGCAAGCCTGGAGGCGGAGGAGCAAGTGCCGGTGCTGGTGGGCAGTCAGGGGGAGTCAGAAACGGTCCCGCTGGATGGGTGCGACGTGAAGAGCTTTTCTGAGACCTGCGGGCCGGAGAAACGATGGTGAGGAGGAGGGTGAGGGAGAGAGAGAGGGGTGGTGAGGGAGAGAGGGGTTGGGGGGGATAGAGGAGATGAGAAGGGAATGAGTGGGGAGTGGTGAGAAGGGAATGGGTTTGGAGTGGTGCAGAGGGGTGGATGGAGTGCCTGGTCCAATCGAACCCCTTCCCTCCCCCCTCCCCCTCTTCCACCCTACCACTTTCCCCTTTTCACCCTCTTCCCCTTACTCAGGGCTCACAAGTTCTCCATCCGCATAAGCCACCCATCTCGTATTCTCTTTAGAGAAGCCAAGGAGTTTTGCATCTACTCCCTCTCCCTCTCCATCTCTCCCCCCTCCCCCCCCCCTCCCCTCACAGGGCGCGCAAGTTCCCCATCCGCATAAACCACCCGTCCCGCATCCTCTTTCAAAACGCGAGGGAGTTTTTCATCTACTTCCCCAACGGCCGCGTCAAGCAGGCTTGGTGCCGAGCCTTGCGCGCTGCAGCCCTCCCCGAAGCAGAGGACACCCTCTGGCAGGTTCGGGTCTCCCAAGCCTACGCCGTCTACCTTGGGAAGATCCGAGCCTCGCGCCCGGACCTGTGGGTGAACGTGGAGGCTACGGAATTGGAGGGCGGGGGGGAGGATGCGCGGGGGGAGGGGGAGGGCGGGGGGAAGACTGGGCGGTGGGGAGAGGGGAGGATGGGGCAGCGGAAGTGGCTGAGAAAAATACGGACAAAGCAGGGCGGGGGAATGGGGCCCAGGAGCGGCAGTGGAGGTGGGGGGACTTGGGTGACAGGAGGGGGAGGAGGAGGCGTATGGGGGGGAGGAGGAGGAGGCGCGACAGGGGCAGGAGCAGGGGGAGGGGGAGGGGGGGGAGCAGGGACGATGACTGGTGAGGATTCGAGTGGGGAGGGGGGCCTGTGGGGAAGCTTTAGCATGAGCTCTTGGAGCAGTGGCAGTGCGAGCGGGGGAGGTAGCGGCTGGGGCGTACGGAGCGGCAGCTTCGGCACCGCAGGCTCGGAGGGATCCTTGCTTCGGCCGCCGAACCTGAAGGCTTTGTTCAGGAAGGAGCAGTCTTTTATGCAGCAGCAGGTGCAGGGTCAGAGAGCGATGCCGCCGCTGCATGCTCCTCCGGTGGTTTCTTCCGGCCCCATGCAAGCAGCAGGGCAGTCGGAGCAGCAGCATCAGCAACATCAGCAGCAGCAGCAGCAGCATCAGCAGCAGCAGCAGCAGCAGCAGCATCAGCACCAGCAGCAACATCGGGACCTCCCCCCTCTGCCAGCTATCCCCTCTGGCCGCTCACTACCGTATTCCCAATCCATTGAGTCAGATGCTGCCACTACCACTGCCGCTGGTTCTGGCACCAGTTGGGTTGGTGGGGCGGGTAGCTTTGGAGGCAGTAGCAGCATTGGTAGTAGCTGTGGCGATGCTGCTGCTGCTGGTGGCACCGGTGCTGCTGGTGCTGCGGCTGCGGCTGCTGCTAGTGGTGCAGGAGGGGGATGGGAGGATGGTCCAGCAGGGGAGGAGAGTTCTCTCTGGGCCTTCAAGCGCAGCCACACTGACACTTCTGTGCGTCGGCCGAGAGTCTTCAACAGTGAAGGGAACACCACTGAACCCACCTCCACCGCTGCATCCTCTGAAATCAACTCGTGTGGGATCATTTACTCTGGGGCTGGATCGTCAGGAATGAACGCATCAGGAGGAGGAAGTAGCTTGTCCGGATTTAACCTGCCCGGATTTAACCTCTCTGGAGTCAACTTGCCCGGATTCAACCTGCCTGGAGTCAATTTGACTGGAGTCAACCTTTCTGGAGTTAACTTGAGTGGAGCCAACGTATCTGGAGTGAGGAAGAGGGGGCAGGGGGAGCGATCGCAGCTGGAAGGAGTCGCAGAGGGGGCTGTCACTGTCCCACCGTTTGACAGCCCGTTCCCCTCTTCACTGTCGGATTCTTCAGCAGCAGTAGGATTAGGAGCAGCAGGAGCCGCGGGAGCAGGAACAGGAGCAGCAACGGCAGCTGCAGCGGCAGCAGCAGCAAGGGAGGAGTGTGCTGAGTACGGGCCGGTGGCGTTCAGTGGGCCTGTGACGCAGGCAGAGGCTGCTGCAGCCCTCGCTGCCATTGAAATGGCCCAAAGGGCACCCACGGCACATGGGGCATTTGGTCAGGTGGACGGTCAGGTGGATGGTCAGGTGGGCGGGCAGGTGGGCGGGCATGTGGGCGGGTTTAGTGGCAGTGGCATTGCGTCAGGTCCTAATGGTACACCATACCCTAGTGACCCTAGTGGTATATTATATGGCGAGCCCTCTCGCCCTCCTGCTGCTCCTCTTGGCAGCACTGCTCCAGATGACGCTGTTGTCACTGATACTGGCTCTGCTACTGCTGCTGCTGCTGCGGGTGCCACTGGTGGTGCTGGTAATCCCAGTGAGAGTGGCGGTGGTGGTGCAGGGGGCGGCAGTGGAGAGCCAGAGGGGGCGGTGCAGTGGGCGAATGCGCTGCTGTGCCGTCTCTACTTTGACCTTTCTCAGGAGGACGCGCTCAGCAAGAAGCTCCAAGCCAAGTTCTCGGTACGTTAAAGTGCAGTGCGGTGCAGTGCGGTGCAGTGGAGTGCACTGCAGTCTCTCCACATCCCTGCTCTCCCTCCCTTATGCCCCCATCCCTTATGCCCCCATCCCCCACATCCTCAGGAGAAGCTGTCGCTAGTCATCACGCCATCCATCATGGGTCCCATCTCCTGCACCAAGCTGTCTGTCCCACCATCATGAAATGGAACCCCTCTTCTCAGCGCCTCAATCCATACCATCAAGCCCCCCCCTCTTCCCCCCCCTATGTCTCCAGGAGAAGCTGTCGCTAGTCATCACGCCATCCATCATGGGACCCATCTCCTGCACCAAGCTGTCACTCGGCCCCATCCCTCCACTCATTCGCTCCATGCGCACAGTCAACCTCGCCATGCCAGGTATGCATGCCTTGTCCCGACCCTGCTTATCCATGTCCTTTCCTGCATCATCATGTTACTCGGCCCCATCCCTCCTCTCATTCGCTCCATGCGTACAGTCAACCTCGCCATGCCAGGTATGCATGCCTTGTCCCGACCCTGCTTATCCATGTCCTTTCCTGCATCATCATGTTACTCGGCCCCATCCCTCCTCTCATCCGCTCCATGCGTACAGTCAACCTCGCCATGTCAGGTGCGCAATCATTGCCTGTTGTATCCACGAATTGCCATTAATTCGCAAGCACTATATCCCCCACCATGCACTCATATGTCATTTCCTGCACCGACAGGCCACTCGGCCCCATCCCTCCACTGATCGCTCCATGCGCACAGTAAACCTTTGACCCTCATGCCTCTTGTCCCCACCAGGGGGGGACCTTGCACTGGACGTCGATCTGGAGTTCAAGGGAGAAGCCAGCAAGCATGCCCATGCTTCAAGTACGCCCCATCCTTGTTGCCCCATGCCTTGGTTCCCTACCCTTGCATCTCTCCTCCCAACCAGGGGGGGATCTTGCTCTAGACGTGGATTTGGAGTTCAAGGGAGCAGCCACTATGACGATAGAAACCAGCATTGACATGAGAGAAACGCAGTTCCTCAAAATGTGGGAGGAGCGGGACCTTTCCCGGGCAGAAAAAGATTCTGAGAGGAGGGCGGAGTACTCCGGGCAGGTGGAAAGCACACCGTTGGCTGCAGGCTCGGAACCGGCCCTTTCAGACGGTTCGGCAGCTGCCGGGGGAGGCTCGGATGGAGTAGGCTCGGCCGGACCTGGAGCCGGGCCTGAGCGGCTGGTTCGGCGAGGGTCGGGCATGGGAGAGGCACTGATGAGTGAGGAGACTGCTGCTGCTCTGGTGGGGGATATGGAGGTGGCTGAAGATGTGATTATAGAGGGCGCTGCTACAGCCCCTGCTACACCTGCCAAGAGCACGCCAACCAAGGCAGGCAGGAAGAGGAATATCATTCGAGGGGTGCGGGGCATGGTCAGCAACATGGCCAACAGCCTCTCTCAGGTGAGCCTCTCCCAGGTGAGCCTTCCCCAGGTGAGCCTTAGGTAAGTGTTCAATGCTCACTCGCTCTTCCCATTCGAGGGGTGCAGGGCATGGTCAGCAACATGGGCAATAGCCTCTCCCAGGTGAGCCTCCCCCAGATAAGGCTCCCCCAGGTGAGCCTTCCCGGGTAAGTGTTCAATGCTCACTTGCTCTTCCCATTCGAAGGGTGCGGGGCATGGTCAGCAACATGGCCAATATCCTCTCCCAGGTGAGTCTTTTCCTTATCAAGCGATACGTTTTCTTATCAGGTAAGCCTCCCCCAAGTGAGTCTCCCAGCAACCATGTCCTCTTCACTCTCTCCTTCAAGTTTCAACATCACATCCGTTAGTGGAACAATGTTTTGGATACCCTTCCCCTTGTTCTTCCCCTCCCGTCCCCTCACCCCTCTTCCTCCCGACCCCTCCAACCAGGTCCCCCTCACTCTCTCCTTCAACATCACATCCGTTAAAGGAACATTGCGCATCCAATCCAAGTGCCTGCCTTTGACGCTATCCCAACCCCCCTTCTTCTCTCCTCCCCCCAACCAGGTCCCCTTGACTCTCTCCTTCAACATCACATCTGTTAAAGGAACATTGCACATCCGGGTACCCGCCCTCACTCCTGTCCTGTCCCTTCCCCTCCTCCATTTCCTCTTCCTTCTCATCCCCAGGTCCCTCTCACTCTCTCCTTCAACATCACATCTGTTAAAGGAACGCTGCGCATCCGGGTACCCGCCCCGCCCTCCGACCGCCTCTGGATGTCGTTCGTTGAGATGCCCGAGATCGAGATGCAATCCATGCCGTCCATTGGTGATCTCAAGCTCAAGCGCTATCCCATGGCCACGCTCCTCATTGAAAAGCTCAAGGTGGGTGGATTGCAAATTTTCAGGGCAGTTCGTTTTGTTGTGCGATGTATGTATGACGTAGTATGTGGGTGGGTGCATGGGGTGGCTCAAGCGCTACCCCATGGCCACGCTTCTAATCGAAAAGCTCAAGGTGGGTCGGTGGGTGGGTGGGTAGGTGGCTTACCTTTCAGGGCTGTTTGTTGCTGTGCCATCAATGCTGTATGTAAGTGGATGGGTGCGAAGCTCAAGCGCTACCCCATGGCAACGCTCCTGATCGAAAAGCTCAAGGTGGGTTAGTGGGTGGATTCTCCAGGGCAGTTTGTTTTGTAATGCCATGTATGTATCATGTGTGTGTAATGAGTCGTGTTTTGAGTCGACTCAAAACACGACTCATTACACGCGGATTTTGAGTGGACTCAAAACACAACCTGGTTATCAAAACGCCCCTCACTCACACCCCCAATCCCATCAGGCACTGATCAAGTGCTCGCTGGTGCAGCCCAGCTGTGTGAACTACTCGTGTGTAAAGTGCTACCTTATGCCCACGTCTCCCCTCCCCCCCCCCCCCCCCCTCACACCCCCTCTCCCCATCAGGCACTAATCAAGCGCTCTCTGGTGCAGCCCAGCTGTGTGGATTCCAAGCTCCGCTTCATGCTCTCAGACCCCCACGACTGGTTACCGCGTCAACCCTGCATGTGATAAGGTGTCAACCCTCAACCTCAAACCGATTCTTCCCTTCCCCCTCCCCCCCATCAGGCACTGATCAAGCGTTCTCTGGTGCAGCCTAGCTGTGTGGATTCCAAGCTTCGTTTCATGCTCTCAGACCCGCACGACTGGTTACCGCGTCAACCCTGCATGTTACCCTGGCGCCCCCCTGTCGACGCCTCTGTCACCCCTCCTCCCTCCACCCTTCCTCCCTCCTCCTCCTCTTCCTCCTCGTTCTTCACTCCCTCGTCGTCCCAAACCTCTCTCTCCGGGTTGGCCCAGGCCTCCAACGCCGGCTCGGACATCCGAGGCTCGGATGCCCGAGGCTATACAGTGAAAGGCTCGGGAGGAGGTTTGGACGGGGAAGGGAGGGATGGGGAAGGCTCGGGTGCAGGTATTGGTGATTCTGGTGGAATTAGCAGCACCAGTGGCGGCGGTGGTGCTGTAGCTGGTGCTGCTGCTGCTGGTGCTGCTGCTGGTGTGTCAGGAAGTGGGAAGATCAGTCGGGAGGGCACAAGAGGGTCTGTGAGGGGGCTGGTGGGCGGGATAATGACGAGAAGGCAGGGAGTGATTACAGGCAGTCCTGTGCTCGATCTGGTGGCAAGGCGCACTGGCAGCAACCAGAATCTCAGCTCTGGGACTCCTCGATCCCCTCTGCGGGGCGCAGCTGGTGCTGCTGCTGCTGCTGGTGATCGTGGTGGTGCTACTGCTGCTGGTGCTGGGCCAGGGAGTAGGCAAGGAGGAGCAGGAGGAGCAGGGGAAGTGGGAGGAGGAGGAGCGGGAGCAGCAGCTGTGTTGAATGGGGGAAGCAGTAGCAACAGTGATTTGGCTCGATATGCTGATGCTGGTGTTGCTGCTGCTGCTGCTGTTCCCAGCTCTCTCAATACGTCTCTGGTCCCTTCCAGCCCTAACGTGTGTCCTTCTTCTCCTCTTAGAAGACTCACGCCTTTCTATCTTGGCCTGAAGGAGCATGATCCACAGCAACAGCAGCAGCAGCAGCAGCAGCAGCAGCAGCAGCAGCAGCAGCAGCAGCAGCAGCAGCAGCAGCAGCAGCAGCAGCAGCAGCAGCAGCAGCAGCAGCAGCAGCAGCAGCAGCAGCAGCAGCAGCAGCAGCAGCAGCAGCAGCAACAGCAGCAGCAGCAGCAGCAGCAGCAGCAACAACAACAGCAGGACTCTAGTTCCTTCTCCTCTGCCTCCCAGTCCATACCAGCAGCAACTTCTACCAGCAACACTAGCATCCCCTCTCCCTCTTTCTCTGTCTCCTCACCCCCTGTACCTCCACCCTCCTCCTCCCTCCCAACCTTCTCACCGCTCTCCACTCCTGCTCTTGCCTCTTCCACCTCAACTGCTCGCCACCTCTTTTCAGCTGCCAAGTCACACATAAAGAGTGCAGCTTACGCAATCAAACCCTCGTCTTCCACTGCAGCCTTTCTTTCCTCTTCGGGCGAATTCGGAAGAGGCAGCGAGAGATACACTTCTGTAACCACTGCAGCCGTTTCTGCTGTCGGGAATTCTGCGGCTGAGGTAACAGGAACAGCAATGATGGGGGCAGCAACAACGGTGTTGGGAGCTTCTGCGGCCACTGCTGGTGCTGGCGCTGCTGCCATTGGTTCAGTTGCCGGTGGTGCTGCTGCTACTGCCGTAGGTTCGGTTACTGCTGGCACTTCTGCTGCTGCTGCTGCTGCTGGTTCGAGTGGTATCAGTTCCGCTTCTGCTGGTGTGGCCGCAGGTTCGGCGGCAGGCTCGGCAGAGGTACTGGCTCGTCAAACTGTCTCGTCACCACCGGAGCTCCGGCTCCCATCCTCCAGCTCATCCCCTAACCTAGCTGAACCACAGCCACCGCTCCAACCTGCACCTGTCTCATCCTCATTATGGTCCGATCCGCTATTGTTTAACAAGCAGCAGGGAAGCAGCGAAACTAAGGGCAACGAAGGCACAGGTACCCGCGCGGCGGCCATTGCTGGTATGAGTGGCGGTGGCAGCAGCACAGGTGGTGGGGGCAGTGTGGTGGGGCTGGGTGGGGGAATGGGGGTGGGGCGAATGAGAGCGAGCATGGCAGGAGAACTCTTTGAAGGGCTTAGGCTATCGAAAGCATCAAGGTTGGCTGCAAGGGAGAGGAGGAGGGCTGGAAGGGGCCGGGGAGGAGCATGGGGAGGAGGAGGAGGAGGAGGAGGAGGAGGAGGAGGAGGAGGAGGAGGAGGGGGTGATGGTAGTGGGGATGTGGATGGGGAGGTGTGTTCGGCAGACGAGGCTTTGTCTCAGCAGCAGCAGCCGGTGCGAGGGTTTGAGGCGTTTAAACAGAGTTTGGGCGTGCTGGGTAGGGAGAAGGAGAGGGACCGGGAGAGGTGGGCCGTAGCGGCATTTACCAAGGTGGCCACAATGAGGAAGAAAGCACGGGGCAGTTGGGATGGGTCGGAGTTTAAGGGTATGGGGGATGGGGAAGATGCAGGGCTGGATGGTTTGGACGGTTTGGATGGGTTGGATGGGGTGGACGGGCTTGATCGTGATGCTTCTGGTGCTGCTGCTGCTGCTGCTGGTTCTGGGGTATCAGGGTCGACGAGGGAAGATGCTAGCTTCGGGCTGTTTTCTGGGAGAACTGCTCTGATGATGGTGGGAGGAGGATTGGGAGGAGGAGCAGGAGGAGGAGCGGGGGGAGGGGTGGGGGGGTTCAGGGGAGTTGCTGGGGGGGTTGCGGGTGGAGGTTTGGTCGGGGGACTGAAGAGAATGGCGAGGAGCAAGAGTGGAAAGGGCAGGGGCGAGGAAGGCACAGGAGCAGGGCTGGAAGCGGGCTCAAGGGAAGAACAGGAGGAGGCGGATGAGGTGGGAGGGGAAAGAGGGGGAGAGGTGGGGGCGGGTGTGGGGGAGGAAGGGGCTGAAAGGGAGGAAGAAGGGACGGAAGGCTGGGCTGATGCGAGAAGCTTCACTGTGCCGATATCGAGAGCGAGGAGCTGGGAAGTGGGGGACACGGAGGTGATGCGAACCCAGCTGTCGTCTCGCAGTGTTCGAGGGCTTGGGGACTCAGCAGCGCTGGGTGGGGACGGTGTGGGATCGACGGCTGGGATTGACTCGGAACGAACGGTTGACAGCATAGCATTGGGTGTTGTGACTAGCACAGCAGGAAATGCTGCTTCCGGGTGTGAAACATCAGCAGTGGCGACCAGTGGGCTTAGACGAGGGAATGGGGGAGCAGCTGATGCGGCAGCGGCAGCTGTAGTGGCTCGGCAGCAAGAAGGCTCCGGGTCTGGTGGGGAGGGTGGGGAGAGTGGGGAGGAGAGAGAGGGCAAGTGGGGGGATAGGATGGCCAGGGCAAAGGAGTTCGTGGGGAGGATAGGGAATAGGGAGGCGAGGGAGAGGCTTGAGGACAAGGCTAAGAAGGTCTTGGGGTTTCTGCATCGAGGAGAGAAAGGGGAGCAGTAAAATGAGATGGGTTTAGGTGCAGCCAGATATGTATTTGTAAGGAAGTGAAAAAACAACGTAAAGTTGTACATGTTTTCTGTGTTGTACCTCGTTTTCCAGTACGTGTGATGATCTTGAAGAGGTTATGGTTTGGAAGGTGTGGTTGAGTAAGTGTTGAGGTTATATGTACATCTATAGTTGCTGGAAAACACTGCTTTACAATTGTATCGGTACTTTCCACAGGTCTTTCGAATTCGCGAATGGTCGGCTGGCTGGTTCCTGCGACTGCCCTCCTGCTGCGAAAGACCGAGAGTTTTGCTCAATCCCGCGGAATCGCGGTTCGTTTTATTTTTGCCACGTGGCATGCCTTCGATCGTGGGAACCGCGATCTGTTTTATTGTTCCCACAATTTTTAAGAGAAATATAGTTAGGCTTAGTGAGTCACATGTACTGCCCTGCCCGTGGGCAAAAATAAAGCCCATATTGGAAAAACATGTGTTGGGGATGCATCAACCCTAAACACCTAGAGGCAAGGTGTTTAGGGTTGATGCCTCCCTCGCATGCCATGCCCGAATGGGTTTTATTTTTGTTCGCGGGCAGCGCCGTACAAAACTTAACTAAGTTTCTCTTGAACTTTGTGGGAACAATAAAACAGATCGCGGTTTCTGCGATCGAATGCTTGCCACGTGGCGAAAATAAAACGAACCGCGCTTCCGCGGAATTGAGCAAAATTCTCCGAAATACCTCTTTCCTCTGATGGCGACGAACCGCCTTGTGTCAGGCCTTCGCCAACTTTCAAAAAGTCGCATCACGATGCGACGTCTGGGCCACTTCACGCGGTCCTGCGCTTCCCGCAGTCACAATCTGCGGTCCATCCAGTAACATTGACAGTCCATCTTGACCGTCCGTTCGTTCATTTCTCCTTCCTAAACTGGATCTGCGCGGATCGCATCGCAGGCGCAGCCAGGTAATCTCGAAGCACCTCGATTTTATCGTCGTGCCTTGAGAATTGCGAGTTTCGGTCTGTGCAGGAATTGTAGTCTGCTGATCGCGTGTTTCTCAGCGAACCCACACGGCTGTTGCTAGTTTCTCCAAACCCACACGTCGCTCACAATTATATGCCCAACTTACTTGTCTGGTCACGTCGTTTACAATCATATGCGCTAGTTACACACGCGGCGGTTGCTAGCCAACGTAGAATAGCTGTTGCTTAGCCGTGATCGGGTGATATAAGGTCGCATCTGTGCTGCGCTAATCACCTCCATACTTACAAATAAACAAGCCGTAGCTGCCGTACCTTTTATTTACTGCGCCCCGAACGCCAATATCTCTTTGGCTTCGATTAGTTCTCTGACAGGCTCTACGTCTCGCCTATAATAACCACCGTGAGCGTTTCCGGGACTCCAAGCTTAGTACTTCCGATTATTCTTCCATTATTCGAGCCTTTACGACCCCAGCACGAGCTGTTACTAGTTACAAAGGCGTATTGGCAGACTTAGCGTTGTATGTACCGAATTGTCGGAGTTAATCGGTCGAGAAGGCAAAGCGACGAGATGCTGGTAAGTTTACACACCGATGCCTATAATAAGGCATTAGAGTGGTTCGAGTGTTACTGGTTTTTTTTTATCAGTCAGAATGTTTTTTTTCGCTTGCAAGTGAGGTGGAATCTGGATGAACGCGGTCATTAAAATATATTTATTTGACTCAAGGATGGTTCCTTGCACTTGTCTGCAACTTATGTGGTGGAAGCATGGACTTTACTTGCATAACGTTGCGATCGCTAGGACATGCGAAAAGGCGACTTTTGAGTCGACTCAAAACGAGGTGACTCGTGAGTCGACTCAAAAGGCATAACGTTGCGATCGCTAGGACATGTGAAAGGCTCGTTACGATCTCCTTGCACACTTCTGTTAGCCATTTCTGGCGACAGAATGCGAGTGCTTCTGGTCTCTCAAGGATGAAAACGCTTGCAACCCCCCCCTCCCCCTTTCGTGTTTCCGCCGCCTTTCGTTATTTCGTGACGAAATTCCTGGCAGTTCCGAGCGGCGAAGACGGTGGTGTGCTGCACTCTCGAGATGATTTTTGAGTCGACTCAAAAACACCCCCTTCTTCCCCTCCACCCCCCACCCCACAAAATTCCCGACAGTTCCGAGCGGCGAAGACGGTGGTATGCTGCACTCTCGGGCCCATCGTATGGGGATTGATATCGCTGATCTTCCTCCTCCTCGTCGCCCTTGGAATCACGGCACTTGTGCTCTACTTCGTGTACAAACCGCAGGTTCGTCGCCTGATTTCCTCACTTATACCCTTACGCCTATTTCCTATTGACTTTTTGAGTCGACTCAAATGGCACCTCGTTCCGCCTACTTCTACTTTTTTTAACTCATTTGTCCATGATCCGGTAAATGCCCTACTTTCTGCCTGTCGCTTCACTAACTTAATGCTTATCACGAATGTCTTCGTTTCTTCCTGTCTCCCTTTCCTCTCTTTCTCCCTTCCCTCTCTACCTCCATCTTCTCCCTCCCTCTCCTCCCCGCTTCTTTTCCATCACTCCTTCCTTCCCTCCCTCCAGCTACCTGAGTGCGACGTGCAGAACGTAACAGTAAACAGACTGAACGTCACTCGCCTGACTTCCTCTCTCCCTCCTCCCCCCCCCCCCCAACCTCCAGCTACCTGAGTGCGACGTGCAGAACGTGACAGTAAACAGACTGAACGTTACTCGCCTAACTTCGTTTCCCTTCAACGAAACGGCCTACGCAGCTCTAGCCACCATGAGCGCCGCTGACAGAGCAGCCGCATTGGGAATCCCAGGAAACTACAGCGCCAACTCAACAGACCCATCCTCGTTATCAGCATCTCCGTTATTAGCATCTCCGCTAGACGCTCTCGGGAACGCCACTGTGCCGCCGAGGCTCGGTCTGAATGCTGACGTGGGATTCACGCTGGAGACGCGGAATCCGAACAAGGTCGCGATTGACTATAAATACGTGAATGTGTCGATTATCTATCGAGGCGTGACTGTGGGAAACACGTCGGTAAGTCCTATGCCATGCTCTTTCTTTCTCCGGAACTCCCAAACTTTCGCCACGACGCGTCTGCCAGTTTCTTGCCACTTCAAAGAAATAGTTGGTTTAATCATTGTCTCTCTGTTGACTCCCCATACGGGCATTGCCTACGTCAAGAGATAGTTGTTTCAACCTTACGAAACATTCCTTGCCTACACCTGCTTCTTAACCGCTTCTTAGTCTCTCTGTTGACTCCCCATACGGGCATTGCCTACGTCAAGAGATAGTTGTTTCAACCTTACAAAACATTCCTTGCCTACATCTGCTTCTTAACCGCTTCTTAGTCTCTCTGTTGACTCCCCATACGGGCATTCGGGGTCTTTCCGCTTCTTATACTTTTGGATTTCGATACTAGCTCGCAACGCTCTTTCCTGATTGTCCCCCGACTGCTGCAGATTCCGCCATTCACGCAGCAGGCGCAGACCAACACGAGTGTGCCAGCAGAGCTCCTAGTACTAGACTTCCCGCTCGATATAGTCACGGGGCCTGTCATGCTGGCAGATTTGAACGCTGGCAACGTTCCCCTACAGGTACTGCTCCTCTACATGTTGTGTTCCTTTGCACGCAATCTTCCTCTAGAGTTCCTTTTCAGGTTGTTCTCCTCTCTGCATCCTTTGTGGCATCCGCTCGTTTGGCTTTCCCTTGTTTTGAGTCGACTCAAAAGAATCATCTGCACTTTTGCCTTCCCCTTGTGAGCAAGAGACCTTTTTTTTAGAATTCTCAGGAACCTCTGCGTCCTGTTATCCCCATGTCACAGTTGCTGCTTTAACTTGCAGAGGAGGTTCGCCAGAGAATTGAGACGCCACAGTTGCGTCTCACAGATATGTTTTCCAGTTATTAGCACTTCAGCACTTGAGATGTCTCCTATCCCACTCTGCTCCCCTGTCCCCATGGCACAGTTGCTGCTTCAACTAGGGGCAAGGATCAACATTCTAGGGGTGGCATCTCCGTTTGCTCTGGTGAGTGCGCATGCCCCTTCCCCTCTCTTCCTTGTAATCCGGGTGAGTTGCATCTCTGGCCATTCCTTACCCCTCCCCCCTTACACCGTGTATATACAGCCTTCAATTTCTCTAAAAACCCCTCCTTTTTCTATGGCGCCCCTTTTACTCATTACTGTTGATCCCTCCGCGTGTTCCCTCCCACGCCGTTTTGCACCAGGTCGGTTTGTTATGCGATGTCACAGCTGATCCAATAACGAGGACAGTGAAAAGCACAAGTTGCTCATTACAAAACGTTGGGTTCGCATGAGTTACTGGGAAAGAGCTGCACATACGGTAGTACTCATGGACATTAGAAAGCTATATTTTGATGTGAAATGTATGGCAGGTGTAATCTAATTATCTAATGTAAGGTGGACGTGTACTTCATGATAATGTAGTGTCAAGGCATCTCATTATGTCGAGGTTTGTTGCTTGTACCGTATGTTGTGGCCCTAAGAGGCTGGTGTTCGCTTTACATCTTTTATCACTGATGTAACAAGGATAGAATTGCCTACTGTACTCTGCACCAGGCGTTGCATTGGGTTAAAGCGACGGTGCACATTTGCCACCCAAAACCCAGAACCCTGGCGAACTGTTACTGCGGATGGAAAGTGTCCGCACGAAATCCTGGTTTTCGCCAGCCAGCACTTTCGCGCTGGCAAGCCTGGTTCAAAAAAAAAACTTCTGAACCCAACACTGCCAAAAGTTGCCCGTCGCTTTAAGGAAGCGAAAGGGTACCATAAGAGCGTATTCCTATCCTCCTATCAATCTGACCTCCTATCAAGCTCACACTGAAAAATCCCCTAAACCCAAAACCTCTCGCTACTTTTACCAGGCAAAAAGTACAATCTTGATAGGAGGTCAGATTGATAGGAGGATAGGAATACGCTCTAAGACAGAGAGAAGTACGAAAGGGATTTTATTCCATTCAAGATTACGGTAAAGGCTCTGCATAGCAATTTCAATTTTGCAAAAAACGTACACCATTTCTGACTGCTAATAAGTCCTCCCTAACAAATGGCATACTATCCTAGGAAAGGAAAGTCTACAGCTCACCTAGAGTAAATCCCTAACAGCACGCACACATGCTGCTTCTACTATGATTACATCCATAACTACATGTACCACACACCACAGATGCATGCATGCATGCACCAACACTACAGAGACAAGACAGTCGCAGTCTTGACCCTTCCCAAAATCGCCTCCTGCATCATCTCCCCATCATCCTCCGTGTCTCCACCATCCACGTCATCATCACCACCATCCTCTTCAGCACGACTAATGTGATCGACCAGTAAATCCATATCGGAATCCCCTGTGTCGTCCGTGTTATCCCATGGCCCCGATTCTCCCCCCTCCTCTCCTTCCTCCTCTTTCCACTCTCCATCCCCACCCATCCCATGCTGCTCTCCTCTCCATTCCTTCACTTCCTCCCCCCCATTCTTCATCCCACCCTCCTCCTCACTTCCCAAACCAACACTTTTCCTCCCTCCCTCTCTCCCCTTGATCGCTCCCCCCTTCCAAACCAGAGGAACAGACGTCCACGTTGGCCCCCCTGCTGCCATCACCCCAAGCCTTCCCGGACCTCTATCCACCCCTCCTGCCGAACCTCCCGCCGAGCCTCCCCCCGAACCTCCTCCCGAGCCTCCGCCCGAACCTGCAAGGTCGCAGCAGAGGGCATCCGAAGCTGGAAGGAGGGTACCATCGGAGTTTTGGAGGTATCCCCCGAAGAGAAAGATTCGATTCTTGAGAATGGTGTGCTCAAAGTGAATGCGAGGCAGCAGCGGGTGGAGAGGGAAGAGAGGAACGGGAGCAGCAGCAGGAGCAGCAGGAACAGGAGCAGCAGCAGCAGGAGGAGCAGGAGGAAGAGGAGGGATGTGAGGACGCTGGTGCAGCTGCTGCTGCTGCTGTTGCAGTCGGTGCTGCTGATGCTGCTGGTGCCTCTGCTGCTGCTGGTTCTGGCCTTGTCCCTGCTGCTGCTGTCCCTGCCGCTGGTGTTGCTGTTGCTGCTGCAGGGTTGCCAATCCAAGGTGGTTACGAGTGGGGTGTGTGGCATAGGTAGGAGGCACCTGCAACAAACATCCCACAACCATGCATCAAACACGCAGCAAACACCAGGCAGTGATTTCACGGCCATGCCACAACCATGCACAAACATTCACAAACAGTTCAAATAAGTTTGTTGGCTTAGGAGAGTGAAAGAACGAAGGGGGGGGGGGGGGGAGGGGGGGGAGGGGAAGAGGGAATGGGATGGAAGAAGCAGCGGCAAGCAGGAGAGAGCAGACGAAATTGCTGAAGGAGAAATCCCACCTCCCTACCTCCTGTCATCACCTCACCTGCAGCACCTTCCTGCCTTTGGTATCTGCACCACACAAGTGCAAGCACCCTTCCCGCCGTGCCTTACCCCACCCTTGCCTGAACGGCGGGTTCAAGGTAAGGCACAGCGGGAAGTGACCCCAAGATTACCCCACATGTCCCCCTCCCTTCACTCATCTCCCATCCACTCACCTGTAACACCTTCCTGGCCTTGGTAACCGCGTCATACACGTGCAAGCACCCCTCCCAGCGTGCCTTACCCCACCCACCCTTGCCTCAACCCACATGTCCCTCCCTTCACTCCTCTAACCCTCTCACCTGTAACACCTTCCTGGCTTTGGTAACCACGTCATAGCACGTACAAGCACCCTTCCCAGCGCCACACCAGGAACCGCGGCACACACCCCACGCATACAGGTCCTTCAATTAACCCACACCAATGCAATTTGCTCACCTGTAACACCTTCCTCCCTTTGGTAACCGCGTCGTAAACATGCAAACACCCCTCCCGGCGCCACACCAGGAAGCGAGGCACACACCCCACGCCCCACCGCGCTGCTGCATGCTCCAGCGACCATGTTTCTGGGTGAAGGCCCTTACGCTTTCCCCACATGAAAGCCCTTGCCCTACCCCACAGCACTACACTCACCTGTAACACCTTCCTGGCTTTCGTAACCGCGTCATACACGTGCAGAGAGCCTTCCCGGCGCCACACCAGGAACCGAGGCACACACCCCACGCCCCACCGCGCTGCTGCATGCTCCAGCAACCACGTCTCGGGGTGAAGGCCCTTGCCCGGGGGAAGAGAGACCCAGGTGTGTGATGCAGGGTCGTACATGCACACTAGGTAGGGCGAGCGGGCGGAAGAGGGGACGGCGGTGGTGGCGGTTGTGGTGTTTGGGACGGTGTTGTTGGGGGTCCATACCCCAGGAGCAACAGCAGCAGGAGGAGGAGGAGCAGCAGGAGCAGCGGGAGTGACCAGACCAGCAGCAGCAGCAGCAAGAGAGATGTTTCTGTCGGTGAAAGCTGCCGTCACAAAGTTCGCAGCAGGTGCTGCATCAGCAGCATCAGCAACATTGGCAGCAGCAGCAACAGTGGCGGCATTAGCAGCACCAACTCTGGCCCCACCCAGTTGAAGCGCACCAGCAGCAACATCTGTGACCGGAACCCTAAACTGGTTCCTCCCCAGCAGAAACAGCCTCCCAGCCAGCACCACGCCACTGCACTCATAACACGCCATCGGCATTTCAGGAACTCTCTCCCACACATCTGCCTTCAGATCGTACATTTCTACAGAAGAGAGGGGTTCGCACGTCCTTCCTTTCTCCCACAGCCGCCCTCCTGCTACAATCACCTTGCCTTTAATCACGCCGAACGCGAACCCCACCCGACCCTGGTTCATAGGCGCGGCACGCACCCACGCGTCCCGGACCGGGCTGTACCTCCAGACCTGCACCTCACGTTCGGCAAGCTCAGGGTCGGGAGAAGGAGCACCAGGTTCGGCAGTACCAGCAGCAGCAGTGGCACCGTCGATTGCAGCAACAGCAGCCGCTGCTGCTGCAGCCATAGCGGTTCGGTCCGGGGCTGCATCCGAGCCTCGGGTCCAGACCCGGTGCCGAGCCTTTGCCGAGCCTCGGACGGCAAAGAGGAGGAGTTCCGAGCCTAAGGCTTGAAGGCGGCAGTCCCAAAGGGTGCTTGTGTCGGTAGGGTTGGCGAGTTGGGGAGGGAGGGGGGCGAGAGGGTAGAGGGAGTTGGAGGGAGGGTGAAAGCCCACCAAGCGAAGGCAAGAGGGAGGAGCGAAAGGGGAGGAGGAGGAAGCAGAGGAGGAGGCAGAGGAGGAGCAGGAGGAGGAAGAAGACGAGGAGGGGTTTGGTAACGGGGAAGAGGGGGAGGGAGTGGTGTGCTGCGTCTGATCGGAGTGCGTTTGACTTCCAGCTGATTCTGTGTTGGGATAATCCTTGCTTGTGCTGCCACCATCACTGCTCCTTGTGCTGCCCCTGCAGGCAAGTCGTGTGCTCCTTGCTGGTGGTGTGGCAGTGGCAGAACGAGAGGTCTGGCCATTCGCGCTCGTGCGGCGTGAGTGGGAGAGGGGCGGCTTCTGGGTGTTTGATCTCGCTGCTGCTGATGTTTTGCTTGCACCTGCGGCTGCTCCTGCTGATGCTGATCCTGATGCTGCTGCTGCACCTGCTGATGCCGATGAGAGAACAGCAGACGAGGCTCGTGGGACAGAGGAGGTGAGCCGAGGAAGGTGAGAGGTAGACGTATGGGAGTAGGAGGAGGAGGGATGGGAGGAAATCGAGGGGGAGGAGGAGGAAGAAGGGGGAGTAGAGAAGGAGGGTGGCACTCCAAGGCGGGAGATGGAGAGGTTGGGAAGGGAGAAGCGCGTGTTGAGGGAAAATTGCAGGCTCCTACTTGCTGATGGGGTTGACAGTGCTGACACTGATGACACTGCTGACAGTGCTGACACTGATGGCACTGTTGACACTGATGGCACTGATGGCACTGCTGACACTGATGGCACTGATGGCACTGCTGACACTGATGGCACTGCTGACACTGATCCCTTGCCCTTGCTCAACGAGAGAGTAGGTTGCAATCCCTTGCCCTTGCCCTTACCCTTTTCCTCCCTGCCCCATCCCCATCCACCCTCCCTCATCAAACCACTCACTCTCTCACTGCTCTCAACCGCTTGCTTTCCCTTCCCTCCTCGTTCGCCCCTCCTCTCCTCCCCTCCGTTGCTGTTGCTGCTGCTCCTGCCTATGCAGATTCCTTCTCTCTCGTCCCTGCTTCCACTTCTGCTTCTGCTCCTGCCTACACCATTCTCCTCCCCTCTGCCCTTGCTTTTCCCTATACCGCCCCAATCGCTTCTGCTTATCCCCTCCTCTCCCCTCCTACTGCTGCCCCCGGTGCTACCACTGCTGCTGCTTCTGACGCAGCTGCCACGTGATTCGCCCAACCTGCCGCTGCCACGTGGATCTGTACTGCTCATCGATTGGCTGCCAGTCACCCTGCTTGCACCAGCAATCGCCCGGCTGCTACTGCTGTCACTCCACCTGCCCGCCCTGCTGATTAATCCGCTGCTTCCCCTACTGCTTCCGCTGCTTTTTCTACTGACAAGGCCACCCATATCGCTGCTGTTCTCTCTCCTCCTACTGCTGCCATAGCTGCCTCTTTCCCTCCTCTCCTCACTCCTCCCTCTGCTCTCTCCACCCCTCTCCCCTCCATCCACACCCCTCCCCCTCCTCCCCTCCACACTCCCATCACCAGCACCAACCCCCTTGTCTCCATTCCAAGGCACAACCATAAACACCCACTCTTCCAATCTCTTGCTCCTCTTCCTCAGCTCCCGAACGTCCTCCCCAGCCAAACCTTGCTCCCAGGCTCGACAGACAGACCGGCCCGAAGCTAGGTTCAGCCATGGAAGTCGGGACAGGATATCCAACCCAACGTCATTGGGCAGGTTCGGAAACAGGCCCGGCACAGCCTCAGGCTCAGGTTCAGGAGAATCCTGTCCCAGGGACTTCTCTCCAGGTTCAAGTCCAGGTCTGGGACCAGGTTTGGTTGCAGGTTCAGGTGCAGGTCCAGCACGAGGTTTGGGTTGAGCCTGTGGCTGTTGGTGAACCTCAGCTTCAGGTTCGGTTGTGGGTTCGAAAAGAATCCCTCCATTGCTAGTTTGCTCAGTTGACCCACCCACGGCACCATGCATGGCAAAACCCTCGCCAGGTGGTATACCACCAGCTTGCATGGCGTCAACAGCACCCATAACACCACCTCCCACATGATCAACTCCCAGGCCGCCCTTGCCCTCATGCTCACCGTTCTGCTGCTGCTCACTGTTCTGCATGGCATCATGGCAAAGGGCTTCATGCCCCCTGCCGTGAACCATGCCATGCTCTGTCCCATGCACCCCCATCACATCCTCCTCCCCATGCAGAAACGGCCATGGAACAACGGCAGGCGGGCACACTCGCGCACACGCCCCCTTACATGCCTCCACGGCTGAAGCTGACTTAATGCGCAGGACAGGCTGAATGGAAGCAGACTGGATGGCAACAGACTCGCGAACTTCACCAAGCAGGATGGAAGGAAGGTTCCCAGCAGCTGCCAGGCATGGCCAGTGTATGGCGCTGCTGGTGGCACCGGCAGCACCGGCAGCAGCGACAGCAGGAGCAGCATCAGGAGCAGCATCAGCAGAATGGTGCATGCTGTTATGTCCTGATTTCAAGCCGTTGGATCCTTCACTGCTGCAATCCCCACCGTCAGCTGCACTGCCACTCCCAACAAGACCGTCAATTTCACCATCGTAATTGCTGACATCAGCATCAGCACCATCATCAGCATCAGCACCTTCACCACTGCCAGCACCATCAGCACCGCCAGCACCATCACCACCGCCAGCACCATCACCACCGCCAGCACCATCAGCACCATCACCACCGCCAGCACCATCAGCACCATCACCACAGCCAGCACAATCATCATTACCATCCTGATCACTGTCATCCACGTCAGCATCCGCATCATAGAACAGCGCATCATCATCCTCGTCATCACCATTTTCTGCTGACGTATCATTGGTCTCTGCCACGTCAGCAGCAGCCACGACATCACCATGCACGTCACTGCCAATGCTGTAATACCTGCTGCTGCCAATACTCAATCCTCTGCTCCTCCTGCTCTCGCCTCCTTCCCTCCTCGCCCTGCTGCTGCTCCTCCTCCTCCCACCAGAAGCCGAGTTACCGTCTGCAATACTGCTGCTCCTGGTGTTGGCACTGCGAACGACGTTACTGTTTGTCGTAGTGCTGCTGATGTTGCTGCTGCTAGTAGAAACAGCCTCACGGTCACATCCGTTATTATCACCGCCTTCTGCAGCCTCATCCAGACCCTTCCCATCCGCTATAGGCACAACCCTCCTCGCCCTCCTCCTGCCACCACCCTGGCCACACACACCCAGCAACCGCACCCTCCTAATAATCCCACCTCGCTGCTTCTCACAACCATCACCATCACATTCTTTGCCTTTACCCTTGCGTCTGTCATTGCCTTTGCCCCGACTCCTATCACAAATCCCATCTGGGATGTTTAGCTCGTCTACCCTCGGGGAACTTTCACAATAAACACCACGTGACTGGCTCCTGCTGTCGTGAACGCCTTTCTTTGCCAAAGTAGCAAACGATCTCCTGCTTCTGCTGCCGCCCGCTCTCTTGCTGCACAGCCAGCAAGAAGGATCGCTGGGAGAGGTTGCTGCTGCTGTTGACGATGATGCTGACGTGGATGATGTTGTTGCTGACGTGGAAGATACTGCATCTGACGTGGCTGATGCTGTTGCTGACGTGGATGGCAGCTGGGACGAGCGGCGGGAGGAGAGAGGGGAGGAGAGGAGCAGAGGGAGGAGGATTGATCTCACACGGTGATGGGGACAGACAGGAGCCCGCACGGAGGTTGCGATGGACGGCTGTGATTCATTCAACCGATCTGATTGTGCTGATCGACGGCTGAGAGCGGCTTCACCAGGATTCGAACCAGAGCCATCCGCGTTATAAGCTGGCTCGCATGCCATAGCTACGTGCAGACAGGTTACGCGGAGGTACGGAACGGTACGAATTCTCCCTCAGATTGCTTCCCCCGCTTGCACTGATGCTACTTATGCCATAACAATTGAAACTGCGAAAGAGATTTCAAACGACTGAAATCGAGAAGAGGTGCGCGCAACGACAAGCCACCCGTCCTGCTCGATTTTGACTACCGAGCAATCCATTCTTCTCGAATCTACGGCCGCCATGACATGAACGATTCGTCCACGCGATCAGCCCCAGTCGCCTCGACGACTCCAATCGCGCAGAGCGCGCCTCGCGATAGCTCGCGAAGTGGCGCGAAAGCCTACGACGATATGAAATTCGGGCCTTGCGACAGCCTCGGACGGTCTGGCGTTAGGCGCGGCGTCGTCGCCAGGCGCGTGACAAGCCATGTTCAGATTCGGATGATGGTCACACCGAGGACCTAGGGGACGCCGTGGATGGGGAAACCTAGAGACTGCTTGCCAAGTTTGCAGCTGCCTCCTATCAGCAAATGCTCGGTTGGAGAATGCGAAGCGGCTCTGGTGAGATTGGGTGTGATGGTGATGATCTCTAGGGGCAATTTGAAGAAGCAAGGACAAATTCTAGGCGGAAATCATATACGCGTTAATGTGCCAGCTGGCATCCTGTAAAGTAGTGTGGTTCTGTTGGTGTGGAGTACACATACGTGTGCAAGATTCAAACTGCGGTTTACAGTTTTACAAAACTGCTTTTCCCAACTAGTCCACTCCCTGTAACCTAAATCGGGTACAGATTCTCATTTGATCATCCAGTGAGCAGCGAAACAAACAGGAACTAGGTGATGAAAGCACCATGCCCACGCGCCGCAGGGATCTATTTACGCGGCGCTTTGGGGTTACCAGAACCAGAATCAGTGATTTATGGCTGGTCAGGCACAGTACTGATGCGACTACGTAGTGGTCGGTGACTAAACGGTGGTAATTCCTCTTCAGTTCTCCCTAGTACTCAATCTCATCATACTAGGTACACCGAGACGCCTGCTAAGATAGATCGAATGGCATTCAGCAACAGCTACTCATCTGTAACCCTAAACTCGCGAATTCGATCCTTCCGTATCGCATTCTCCCAGAGCTCCTCGACGCGGCGCGTACCGCGTCAGTCCGTGACGAAGGTCTCACGCTCGTTGACACGTGTCACAACATCAGTGGTCTGTAGAGCTCGCACTAAACCCGATGCTATGACGGAAAGTGCAGTAGATCATAAGAGGATAGATTCTGAAAATCACGAGATAGAGCTGCGAAATGCGAGTCAAAGTGGAGGAGAAACTGAAAGAGATATGAGTGTCCAACCAGCAGGATCACCCGGCAATGACCGAACAGGATCCGGCCAATCAGATGCCAGCGCGGGTCGATGGTTGTCTGATCGCAGCCGTTCATTCGGGCCTTCGGTGATCGTGGAGGTAACTCGGCTGGCGAAGAAGAGAGGAGCCATCAACCTGGGGGAAGGTAATCCCAAGGCTAGGTATTCTGAAAAATAAGAACATTTTCAATTGTTTTTGTTCAGAGGTGACGCCTCTATCAAAGACGTAAGGAGCCATTAATCTTAAAGAGAGACGCTCAAGGTTGCATTGTTTTTGTTCAGAGGTGACGCTCAAGATGGTTATTGGTGTGCCTAGATAAGTAACCGGGTTATGAAACGGCTTGAACCTAGAAGACTCTCTAAGACGTTTTAAGATCCATTAGTTGCATACGACGGTCTGTAGTATGACTAGTTGATGATGGCCTAAGAAACAGGAACGTTGATGACATCATGGGATGTGTGACCTCAAGGTGCATGGCATGGCATGGCATGGCACGGCATGGCACGGTATGGTATGGAACGGCATGGCATGAAATGGTATGGCATGGCGTGGCATGTCTATGGTGGCACCATCTATTCAGGATTCCCTGACTATGCTGCTCCCCCAGCTCTCAAGGACGCAGGGATGGCTGCCATTGCTGCTGACGTGAACCAATACGAGTGAGTGAGTGGTCAATGCAGCTGTTCTTCTCAAGATATCTTGAAAGGTGCTGCTAACGTGAAGCATTACGAGTGGGTGATTAGTGCAGCTGCTTCTTTTGAGTAATCTCAAGCGTCTGTCAAGGAAGCAGGGATGGCCGCCATTGCTGCTGACGTGAACCAGTACGAGTGAATGAGTGGTCAATGTCTCCATCGCCCCTCACTCACTACTCGCCTCTCAGTCTCCTCATTTTTCAATCCTGCCCTCTTCACACACATCTCATCAAATCTTTCCCTCTTCTGTCTTTTTCTCAGCCTGGAGTTTACTTGTTTCGAGGTGACTTTTGAGTCGACTCAAAAGTCTTCTCAGCCTGGAGTTTACTTGTTTCCTCCTGGAAAAATGAAGAAAAAGAGGGGAAAAAAAAAAAAAAAAAAAACGTAATCCCTGCATCCGGTACCTTCCATCTCTCCAACCCCCCAGCTACAACACGTCTCTAGCAGAACTCGTGGCACGCACCTTCTCTGAAGCTTCTGGCATTCCAGTGGACCCAGACATGGAGGTCGTGCTCAGCTCCGGCCAGACCTGCGCCTTTGCCTCGGCATGCCTGGCAGGTTCAGTTTGTTTCTGCATCGCCATACCCTTTATTTCCCTTTACTTTCCCTTCAACTCCAACGCTTGAAACTGAATAACTCGCCATACTTCACTTCTCGCTCCTGCTAAACTCTTCTGAAATTCTCTGTCATCTGCTTTTCCTCTAAACCCTTCTTGAAGCTGGAAATCTACACCCTGCCATCTGCTCTCTCCTGTCTTCTTCTCTCTCTTCCGTATCCTCCCATGTGATGATGTCATCCTGCAGTGTTCCAGCCTGGTGATGACGTCATCCTGTTCGACCCTGCCTTTGAGGCGTATCACGGGGCCATTCTGATCGCTGGTGCCAACCCGGTGGGTGGGCGGGTTGGGTGGGTGGGTGGGTGAGGGAATGAATAATTCCAAATGCTACCGCACGGGTTGCCCCTCCTGTCGAGTTTTAAGTCGACTCAAAACTCGACATAACTAATTCCAAATGCTACCACACGGCTTGCCCCTCCTGTCGAGTTTTAAGTCGACTCAAAACTCGACATAACTAATTCCAAATGCTACCACACGGCTTGCCCCTCCTGTCGAGTTTTAAGTCGACTCAAAACTCGACATAACTAATTCCAAATGCTACCACACGGCTTGCCCCTCCTGTCGAGTTTTAAGTCGACTCAAAACTCGACATAACTAATTCCAAATGCTACCACACGGCTTGCCCCTCCTGTCGAGTTTTAAGTCGACTCAAAACTCGACATAACTAATTCCAAATGCTACCACACGGCTTGCCCCTCCTGTCGAGTTTTAAGTCGACTCAAAACTCGACATAACTAATTCCAAATGCTACCACACGGCTTGCCCCTCCTGTCGAGTTTTAAGTCGACTCAAAACTCGACATAACTAATTCCAAATGCTACCACACGGCTTGCCCCTCCTGTCGAGTTTTAAGTCGACTCAAAACTCGACATAACTAATTCCAAATGCTACCACACGGCTTGCCCCTCCTGTCGAGTTTTAAGTCGACTCAAAACTCGACATAACTAATTCCAAATGCTACCACACGGCTTGCCCCTCCTGTCGAGTTTTAAGTCGACTCAAAACTCGACATAACTAATTCCAAATGCTACCACACGGCTTGCCCCTCCTGTCGAGTTTTAAGTCAACTCAAAACTCGACATAACTAATTCCAAATGCTACCACACGGCTTGCCCCTCCTGTCGAGTTTTAAGTCGACTCAAAACTCGACATAACTAATTCCAAATGCTACCACACGGCTTGCCCCTCCTGTCGAGTTTTAAGTCGACTCAAAACTCGACATAACTAATTCCAAATGCTACCACACGGCTTGCCCCTCCTGTCGAGTTTTAAGTCGACTCAAAACTCGACATAACTAATTCCAAATGCTACCACACGGCTTGCCCCTCCTGTCGAGTTTTAAGTCGACTCAAAACTCGACATAACTAATTCCAAATGCTACCACACGGCTTGCCCCTCCTGTCGAGTTTTAAGTCAACTCAAAACTCGACATAACTAATTCCAAATGCTACCACACGGCTTGCCCCTCCTGTCGAGTTTTAAGTCGACTCAAAACTCGACATAACTAATTCCAAATGCTACCACACGGCTTGCCCCTCCTGTCGAGTTTTAAGTCGACTCAAAACTCGACATAACTAATTCCAAATGCTACCACACGGCTTGCCCCTCCTGTCGAGTTTTAAGTCGACTCAAAACTCGACATAACTAATTCCAAATGCTACCACACGGCTTGCCCCTCCTGTCGAGTTTTAAGTCGACTCAAAACTCGACATAACTAATTCCAAATGCTACCACACGGCTTGCCCCTCCTGTCGAGTTTTAAGTCGACTCAAAACTCGACATAACTAATTCCAAATGCTACCACACGGCTTGCCCCTCCTGTCGAGTTTTAAGTCGACTCAAAACTCGACATAACTAATTCCAAATGCTACCACACGGCTTGCCCCTCCTGTCGAGTTTTAAGTCGACTCAAAACTCGACATAACTAATTCCAAATGCTACCACACGGCTTGCCCCTCCTGTCGAGTTTTAAGTCAACTCAAAACTCGACATAACTAATTCCAAATGCTACCACACGGCTTGCCCCTCCTGTCGAGTTTTAAGTCGACTCAAAACTCGACATAACTAATTCCAAATGCTACCACACGGCTTGCCCCTCCTGTCGAGTTTTAAGTCGACTCAAAACTCGACATAACTAATTCCAAATGCTACCACACGGCTTGCCCCTCCTGTCGAGTTTTAAGTCAACTCAAAACTCGACATAACTAATTCCAAATGCTACCACACGGCTTGCCCCTCCTGTCGAGTTTTAAGTCGACTCAAAACTCGACATAACTAATTCCAAATGCTACCACACGGCTTGCCCCTCCTGTCGAGTTTTAAGTCGACTCAAAACTCGACATAACTAATTCCAAATGCTACCACACGGCTTGCCCCTCCTGTCGAGTTTTAAGTCGACTCAAAACTCGACATAACTAATTCCAAATGCTACCACACGGCTTGCCCCTCCTGTCGAGTTTTAAGTCGACTCAAAACTCGACATAACTAATTCCAAATGCTACCACACGGCTTGCCCCTCCTGTCAAGTTTTAAGTCGACTCAAAACTCGACATAACTAATTCCAAATGCTACCACACGGCTTGCCCCTCCTGTCGAGTTTTAAGTCGACTCAAAACTCGACATAACTAATTCCAAATGCTACCACACGGCTTGCCCCTCCTGTCAAGTTTTAAGTCGACTCAAAACTCGACATAACTAATTCCAAATGCTACCACACGGCTTGCCCCTCCTGTCGAGTTTTAAGTCGACTCAAAACTCGACATAACTAATTCCAAATGCTACCACACGGCTTGCCCCTCCTGTCGAGTTTTAAGTCGACTCAAAACTCGACATAACTAATTCCAAATGCTACCACACGGCTTGCCCCTCCTGTCCCTCGATGCCATTTTCAACCTCTGGTCCCTTGACCATTCCCGCCCGCCTATCCATCCATCCCAGGTGTACGTTCCTCTCACTCCTCCCCACTGGTCAATCGACTTCACCTGTCTCGCAGCCGCCCTCACTCCACGCACCAAAGGCATCATTCTCAACAGGTGAGTCGAAATCATCTCAACAGGTGCGGCATTCGCCTCCACAATTCGCCTCTCGCCTTGTTCATCCATTTCTTCACTTCGCCGTTGTCCTGGTTAGCCTTAGCCTTTGCATAGAGTATTTCTAGCCGTACTTGTTCGTTCTGGAATTTAGTTTCACAGACCGGCACTGGTGAAGGTTCCTTTTAAACCCCACCAGCCGGCCGTGTGTTTTTCCACTCTCAGCCGACTCAAATTGCCTAGTTTTTGCACAGGTCACGACCTCGTGTCGAGAGGGTGTTTTTGAGACGTCTCAAAAACCGCCGACTCAAATTGCCTAGTTCTGCACAGGTCACGACCTGCCAGCCGTCTTTTGAGGCGCCTGAAAAGTCTGCACAGGTCACGACCTGCCGGCTATATTGGTGCGACTTTTGAGAATTCTCAAAACTCGCCTCAAAAGTCTGCACAGGTCACGACCTGCCAGCCGTCTTTTGAGGCGCCTGAAAAGTCTGCACAGGTCACGACCTGCCGGCTATATTGGTGCGACTTTTGAGAATTCTCAAAACTCGCCTCAAAAGTCTGCACAGGTCACAACCTGCCAGCCGTCTTTTGAGGCGCCTCAAAAGTCTGCACAGGTCACGACCTGCCGCCGGCTGTCACAGACGAGGCGTACAGAGCTTTTACCTCACCGACCAATCAACCTGCAGCCTCCCTGCTTCCAACAACACTTCTACTCCCACAATACCCACCCCCAACCCTGTCCGTGCAACCCCACAGGCCATGTGTTCTCACACACAGAGCTCACTCAGGGTGTTTTTGAGAACTCTCAAAAACACCCCACAGGCCATGTGTTCTCACACACAGAGCTCACTCAGGGTGTTTTTGAGAACTCTCAAAAACACCCCACAGGCCATGTGTTCTCACACACAGAGCTCATTCAGGGTGTTTTTGAGAACTCTCAAAAACACCCCACAGGCCATGTGTTCTCACACACAGAGCTCACTCAGGGTGTTTTTGAGAACTCTCAAAAACACCCCACAGGCCATGTGTTCTCACACACAGAGCTCACTCAGCTGGCCCAATTCTGCTGCCATCACGACTTGCTGGCAATCACAGATGAGGTGTACAGCTACCTTAGTTTCCCTCCTTCCCTCCTCCCACCCCCAACAACCTGCCCAAACCCCACCCACCCGCCCCCACCCCAGTCCGTGCAACCCCACCAGTCGTGTGCTGTCACAAGAGGAGCTTTCTAAACTAGCAGCGTTCACCCCAGCTCGCCCATTCTGCTGCCATGACGACCTGCTGGCAATCACAGATGAGGTGTACAGCTACCTTATTTTCCCTCCTTCCCTCCTCCCGCCCCCAACAACCTGCCCAAACCCCACGCACCCGCCCCCACCCCAGTCCGTGCAACCCCACCGGTCGTGTCTTCTCACAAGACGAACTTGCTCAACTAGCGGCGTTCTGCTGCCATCACGACCTGCTGGTGATCACAGATGAGGTGTACAGTGCATATACCTATGGCAGCAACAAAACCTCCCTCCTCCCCCCTCCCTCTTGCCTCTAATGGTCCCTCTTGCCTCCCTCCCTCTCACCCTCAACAGCTTGCCCCGAACCCCAATTCCCCAATCCACCCCCACTCCAGTCCGTGCAACCCCACCGGTCGTGTGTTCTCACACGCGGAGCTCTCTCAGCTAGCGGCGTTCTGCTGCCATCACGACCTGCTGGCGATCACAGATGAGGTGTACAGTGCTTTCACCTATGACAGCAGTGGCGCTGAGCGCCACATGTCGCTCGCTCATTGGCCGGGCATGAAGGAGCGCTGCATCGTCACCTCGTCTGTGTCAAAAACGTTCCACGTCACAGGTGGGTGGGTGGGATGGTGGGTGGGTGTTGGTAAGGGTATCTTATATGGGTGCTTGGTTGGGTGGATAGGAGGGTGCCAAAAGTCACCTCGTCTGTGTCAAAAACGTTCCACGTCACTGGTGGGTGGGTGGGTGGGTGGGATGGTGGGTGGGATGGGTGTGATGGGGGTATGGTGGTTGGGTGACAGGATGGCAGGGTGCAGTGGGGTGGGGTAGTGTTGCGGACAGGGGTGCTTGGCCGGGCATGAAGCAGCGCGGCATCATCACCAAAACATGCACTCTCCATAATCTCTTCTTTTTTCTTCCCTCCTCCTCTTCCAGGTTGGGGAGTGGAATGGGCCATAGCCCTGGCCCCCAGCGCAGCAGCCATCAGCACCATCGATGCTGGTGCCCATCGTGCCCCTCTTCTCTTTGCCTTTCATTCCCTCCGCTGATCCCCTCTCATCCCCTCTCGTTTCTTGCAGGTTGGCGGGTGGGGGGGGTGCATAGCCCCGCCGCCCATTGCTGCAGCCATCAGCACCATCAGCGATTGTGGAAAGTCGAAACGTTCCCTCCTTCCCCTCTTCACTCCCTTTTCTCTTCTTCTGCAGGTTGGCGGGTGGGATGGGCCATAGCCCCACCGCGCATCGCAGCAGCCATCAGCACCATCAGCGCCAAGCTCATCGACACTCCACCGGCCCCCTTCCAGGAAGCTTCTCATGCGGCTCTGTCCCTACCGCCGTCCTACTACACTCAATTAAGAGAGGTATGTTTGCTTCCACTCTCCTTGATGTGTGCTTTGTAACTGCTTCATCTACCCTTCGCTCTCATCTACCCTTCACTCTCGTCTACCCTTCACTCTTGTCTACCCTTCGCTCTCATCTACCCTTCGCCATCATCCTTCACCCGGTATCGATGCACCAAGACTACACACACAAGCGTGACATGGCCGTTTGCGAATCATTTTTATTTTTATTTTTTATTTCGAATTTTCAAAAGTGATTCTCAAATAGCTCTCCTTCATGCGTGTTTTTCAGTCCTTCATTCAGCCTTAGCCTTCACCATTCACCCTTCGCCCTCACCATTCACCCTTCGCCCTCATCATTCACCCGATATCCATGCATCAGGACTACACCCTCAAGAGTGACACGGGAGTGGCCATGCTGCTAGACCCACAAGTGCTTATAACTGTACCCTCTCTACGCTTCCTCCGTAATTTTCGCCTGTTGTTCACATACCAGGACTATACACACAAGCGGGAGACAGCAGTTGCCATGCTGCTGGAAGCACATGCGTGCCTGTACATCCTTCATCTACCCTTAACCCTCATCATTCGCCCGTTGTTCACGTACCAGGACTACACGCACAAGCGGGACACAGCAGTGGCCATGCTGCTGGAAGCGGGCCTCGAGGTGCCTCTTGTGCCGGAGGGGTACGTTTTTGTGTTCGCCCACATTCCGGAGCGATGGGCTTTCATGTGTGCTCCTCTTCTCTCCCCATCCTAACCCCAGGACTACACGCACAAGCGGGACACGGCAGTGGCAATGCTGCTGGAAGCAGGGCTGGAGGTGCCTCTCGTGCCGGAGGGGTCCGTGTTTGTGTTCGCCCGCATTCCCGAGAACTGGGGTGTTGATGATGTAAGCACTAGTTTGTGATTTATGTAAGCGATTAGAGAGTCATTTTGGTAATTGTTCTAAATTATTATTACTTTTATCCCTTCTCATGCACCCTCTTCTAATGTGTCCGTCTCTTCGACCCCCTCTTTCTCGCTTCCCCCTCCCATCCTTCTCTTCCCTTCTTCCTCCCCACTCGCTTGCCCAGCTTCACTTCTGCAGGCCAGTCATAGAGGAATGCGGAGTGGCCTCTTTACGTGCCTCCTAATCAGACTTCTCTCTTCTTGCTTGCTTCTCCATTCCCTCCCAGCTTCAGTTCTGCAGGAGAGTGATCGAGGAATGTGGAGTGGCCTTCGTCCCGGGTCGAATATTCTTTCACCCCACCCACTCCACCTCACTTGAAAACCAACCTGACCAGCCACGTGGCGTACTATCAGCCATTGGATCTAATCCTAGGGATGCATCGTGTAAGGAGGGGGGTGGCGATGCCACTGACGAGCTTACAGAGGCAACGACCAATCCGGTCGTGCCAGCTCAGCATCGGTATGTCCGCGTGGCGTTCTGCAAGAGCATGGAGACGTTACAAGCAGCTCGAGGCGCATTGCAGCGCATGCAGGAAATGTTTCGTTTGTCTTACTAGCTTATGGTACACTGTTTCTCCTTTAGTATTTGCCGGTATGTTTTGGGAAGAGACGAGGATGAGGAAGTATGCTAGTTACTTCTTCAGCTCTTGGATACTCCACATGCAACTATACAGCGTTCTCCATGAGAAGCTATGCGTAATATGGCGGTTGAAAAATTCTGTAGCAACAGAAACAACACTTCCTCATGACAATCAGGGCTTGTCTAAAGGGACTAGTAAGTGTTCTATTGGCGTTAGTGAGGAGCAGGCGTGCAGCGAGCAGCACTAAACGGCATCACGAAAGGAGGGGACGGGAGAAGAAGCGAGGAGATGAGCGGAGGGGGAGAGGAGGGAAGGAGGGAGACGCTCCTTTGGAGGGGAGGACGATTTGTGGGGCCTTTGGAAGGCAAGCAGAACTGAAGATCAACAAAGAGCAGCGAGAGATCAGAAGATAACCCTGGTGACGTGGCGCTTGTATCACCCTATTCTCGATAATTTCACACCCCTTAAGCGCACACCCTGGGGTAATTACTCTTGGTTAAACGTTAAAGTTGGGTAGCAAGCAACGATTGTAGACTTTCGGAGGAGGGAGTCTCGCAACCTGCTCGCGAATGGAAGAAAAGAAACCAGAGTTCCAAGGGCAGCCATCCACCCCTACTACTCACTCGGAAAATTAAGTGCGAGGCTCGATAACTACCCTCGTCAATCTTTGGGTGTCCGTCACATCGAGCCAGAAAACGTACAGGGTACCTTCGAAATAGGGGGTAGGGGGTGTGCAATTATCGAGAATAGGGTGTACAGTGGTCAGAATCCAGAGCCGTCGTCTGGAGCCGCAGCAGATGGAATATTGGACGCGTACCAAGACGCACGTTTCTTCCCTCACGGCGGAAACGAACAATTTATAGCCATTGGCGCGTAAGAAACGAGATGGAATCGTAAAGATGCTGCTGCTGACTCCAGCCTCCAGCGGGTTCAACGAATGTGTACTACACGTGGGCTGTCTTGAGCAGGCGTATAACGGATAAGAGCTGGCATGTGTAAAATAAGAGCCTCTCATATTATGGGATAACCTCACGATTCCGCGGGGTTACCATTTATCCGCGGCGTTGCTTTGCTGCGTGCCTTCCTGATGTGGAGGAAAAATGCATGCGTTTTGAAATCCGGAACACTGCACTTGGCAGCATTCCTTCGCGTCGCGCATTTTGATAAGGAATCTGAAGAGCGATGTGGAGCCGCGTGATGCGAGTTCTAGATCGGCAGCATTTTAAGAAATTCGTCGTCTGGGTTCGCATAACCTTTCGCGAGGACCTTGAGCCGTTCGATAGGACCCCGCATCGAGGACAAGTGCACACGCCCTAACTGGATGCTCTGCCCTGCTCTTCTCCCCTTCTCCCACCCTCCCTCTTCCCCCCCATTTCGTTTCGCTTATAAATGGAGGTGTTCGCTCAGTTATCATTTTGCTTTTCCTTGCACCACCTCGCGTTTCCATCATTTACACAGAACCGCAGTCCTCGATGTAGAGTGATTTAGTCTAAGAAATTAGACTTTTGGTGTGTGAGTGTTGGCATTCCAATTAGTACGGATTAGTGTCCACTGCAACGCTTTCCCTCTCGTTGAATCGCGAGCAGACGCCCTCTCGTTGAATCGCGAGCAGCCAAACAAGATCCGCATTCCCTCTTCACGAATTCGTTACATGGTGCTACCACTTCTAATTTCTAGCACGAAGGTACTTTCGTTTTATCGCGTGCGCACCTCGCTTTTCGCCGACTCCAACATACATTCCTCGATAAGGAGTGCTTCGCCTCCTCGATAAGTAAATCTCGCACTTTTGCGTATTGTCTACATCACACCCATCGTCAGGTTTTTGAGCGCGAAGATCCAAGATGAGGAGTCTCGAGCCGCCGTCGCAGCAGCAGCATTTCAGCTGCTTGGAAGAACCACTAGTAATTGCTGATCTGGCACATCGGCAAAATCCTCCACACGAGTGAGCTACGCTTTGCACCGAATTCGCATGATCCACGTGGTAAAAAACGGCGGAGCACGAGGCCTCCTCAAGTTCACCCAAGAACTGATAACCTGAATGTGGACTCCACAAATGTACGCCTCGATACGGGCAAACGAACCCAGCCCACCTACGAGTCGCGTACCCTCGCGCGCTTCGGTAACGAGTGAAATTCAATGGCTTGAGACATTTTGGGCTCGATTGGGAATTCTGGATCCTCCCTCTCTGCATTCTCGATTGTGGGGATAAAAAGGGAAAGTCCCGCCAGATCAGTCACACATCCTCGAGTGTTATTCCATCTCAGTTGCTACACTTGCTCCTTCTACCAGCTGTGACAGCATCTCGTCACAGCAGAAGCAGCAACCTGTGGACTGGAATTTCCACAGGCATTGTTTTCCTGTCTAATCGCCGATCTGACTCGATCTGCTGCGGAGAACATGGCTCGCTTCGGCATTTACCACGCTGCATTGGCCTTTCTGGCCGTGTCGGTGCTTCTCCCCTGCTCCACCGCGGCGATTCTCAAGGCGTGGGGCGGCGCGCAGCCTCTCGAACCGGTATGTTCATTCAATATTTCTCTCCACTCTGAAACTTCCGTAACCATCGTCACGCGAGTAGCCCACTAATTGAACTTCACGTCCCTATTTTACACCACGATTAGTACTACTGTCTGTAACATTTTCCACCGATTTTTCCTGATACTCTTCGTGATTTCACGTGAGCTTGCAATAACATTTTCCTCGTTTGACGTTTCATTTGAACCTTTCACAGATGGCCAATGCGCTGATCGCCGAGTGGAACAAGAAAGTCAAACCCGCGCAGAAATTTGGTCCGTATGACCCTTCCAGCTCCAGCAATGGCGTCGCGGGATTCTACAACGGCACCTACTTAATCGGCGCCTCCTCTGAGCCAATCAGCGCCGATAAGGAGATCGCAACGATCCCCAAGATCACCGTCCCTCTCGCTATTGTCACATACAGCTTCTTCGTGACTAAAGCCGCGGGAGCGAAGCCGCTGGTTCTGAACGCTGCGCAATCGTATCAGATCTTCTCTGGAGCGATCACTTCCTGGGGCGATCTTCCCGCCGCGGCGGCCGCGAAGCTCACGGGCACGATCACGCGCGTCGCGCGGAGCACCAAGGTCGCGACGACGGCGATCGTCCAGCAGATGTGGGTGAAAGCCGCCGCGGGTTACCCGGCCGGCGGCGACACCACCGGCAAACCCTTCACGTATACCGGCCTCACGTTTGCCGCGACGAGCGGCGAGATGTGCACCAAAATCGCCGGGACGCCCGGCAGCATCGGGTATTCGCACACGGGCGGATGCAAGAACAAGCGTGGCGTGGCGGAGGTGTCTCTAAAGAACAGGAAGAACGTGGCTGTGTCCTCTCTGAGCTGGAACCCCATTATCGCCCTTCCCGCAAAGGTTCCTGCTCCAGACAAATCCTGGGACTCGGTCGATCTGATCTGGACCGCGAACGCCAAGGCGCCTCCCATGGTCTCCATGCAATATTCTTTCATTAAGAAGAATCTCAAGAAACCTAAGGTCCCCAACGGTGCTGTTGCAAAGGCGTTTCTGCTGTTTATCATTCCCAAGACGGGTCAGAAGGCATCTACCAGCGGGTTCCTGCCAGTTCCCGCCAAGTGGTGGGCTCCTTCGTATACGGCCATCAACAACACTGTTGTTGTGTAGTAGGTAGTGTGTTGAGCTGGTGATTAGTTGAGAGCAGTAATGGGTGCTGGTATGATAATTGCTGGGCCTCCATAGGAGACTGTAAGTTGCCCTGGCTTGTTGAAATGCATCCATGTGAAGGGGTTTTTGGGTTGGCCTTTGTTTGATCGTTGTGTGGGTAGCATAATTTCCTGCAAAGGGGTGCTTTCAGAATGGGTGCTTCGTTTAGAGCTGATCCACCAACCAGGTGTGTCATGCTGGGTCAGGGTGCATATTGGAACACATTCAAACGCATAGTGCGTTAGGAGCTGGGTATACCTCAATATACTTGGACAGTAGTGCATATCAACAGTAACATGTTGAAAACAGTTCTATGTACATTCTGCTGCTGGATGCAATGCAGGCATAAGTATAAAATAACACAACAGCACGAGGAAAGCTGTAAACGGTTGGTTGGATGCATCATATGCAATAATGGTGTAGGGAGTCATAAAAACCAAGGACGATGATGGGACCAAGAAAGAGGAATAAAATGTTCGGTAAGACTACGAGCAACAGGAACAGAAGAGAAGGATGAGGAGGGGAGGACGAGGAGGATAAGGGGGTGCAATCGCTGAATCAGATCAGACACAGCGTCAATTGTAGAAGATGGGGATGAGGAGCACGAGGAAGGCGATAATGAGGGCGAAGAGAGGAGAATACAGAGCTGCCCCTTCAGGCCAGCCGTGTCAAGAGGAGAACCACTGTCATTTCTGAGACGTCTCAAGAGAGCTTCAGTCGTAGAAAATAAGGATGAGGAGGACGAGGAAGGCAATAACGAGAGCGAGGAGGATGCAGAGCTGCCCTTTCAGACCAGCTTTCTTCAAAACCACTGTCATCTTTTTCTGTTGATAGCGAATCAGGAAAGCACAAGGGAGGGGTTGGGGGGAGTGGGAAGAGGTGACTTCAGGGCAGGCTCGCAACGAAAAAGAATGGGTGTAAAGGGATGGAGGGTAGGGGAACAGGCGAAGGGAGGAGATAGAGGGCTATTGTTGAACGGCTGCGAGTGATGCAAATTCTACCTGGAATGCGAGAGTAATGTCTGTAGCTGGAACAAAGCGGCTCAATCAGGTAACGGCATCTGCATCAGTCACAGAACACTGATTCGAGCTGAAACCACCTGAACCCACACCACCACCCAAAGTAGCTATTTCTTGAACCATAAACCAATTCAGGTATCACCCAAACCAGCACCCAAACCAGGTATCACCCAAACCAGGTATCACCCGAACCAGGCATCACCCGAACCAAGCATCACCCGAACCAAGCACCACCTGAACCAATTAACCCAAACCAAGCATCACCCGAACCAAGCACCACCTGAACCAATCAACCCAAACCAAGCATCACCCGAACCAAGAACCACCCGAACCAATCAACCCAAACCAAGCATCACCCGAACCAATCTCACCTGTACCAGTCCTAGCCGCCCCCCTGTCCTCTCCATACCGTCGTCCAACTCTCCTATTAGTGACTCCTGTGCATGGGACGAGGGTGGGAGAGAGGGAGGGAGGGACGGAGGAAGGGAGGGACGAAAAAATTTCAAGAAAGGAGGCAGGGAGGGAGGAAAGAGGAGGGGTAACGGGCAGAGTGCGTTGATGCGAGTGCGAAACATGCTTGGCTTTTGAGGCGCCTTAAAAGGCGGAGGCAGGGAAGGAAATCGGGCAGCAGGGAGGGAGGAAAGTGGAGGGGTAATGGGGAGAGTAAGTTGATGCGAGTGCGAAACATTCTTGGCTTTTGAGGCGCCTTAAAAGGCGGAGGCAGGGAAGGAAATCGGGCAGCAGGGAGGGAGGAAAGAGGAAGGATAACGGGGAGAGTAAGTTGATGCGAGTGCGAAACATGCTTGGCAGAGGAAAGTTACGCAGAGCGCAACTCACCCAGAAACAGAAACGGCAATTAGGTCACCAGCGGGGGTAAGGTCTTCGTGAATGAACGCACTTACTCTTAGTGATCACACGGAATCTTATCTGGGACCCAAGCTCTTTTTGAATGTCAATGCCCATGCTGTGGGCACTTGCAGGAACACCTGACCACCTGAATGCCCACATGACCACCTGGCAGCCCACCTGACCACCTGAGAACCCACCTGACCACCTGGTAGCTCACCTGGGACCCGAGCTCCTCGTGAATGGCAATGCTCATGCTGCAACATTTGCAAAAACACGTAAACCCCTGAGCGCCCACTTGTTCACCTGACAGCTCACCTGACCACCTGGCGGCTCACCTGGGACCCGAGCTCCTCGTGAATGGCAATGCCCATGCCCATGCCTCCCATGCTGAGTGCACTTGCGGGAACACCTGACCACCTGGTAGCTCACCTGGGAGCCAAGCTCCTCGTGAATGGCAATGCCCATGCCTCCTATCCGCGCCAGGCTCTGACTCATGGCGTCCAACTGGTCGTCCTGCTCCCTGTATTCGTTACAGGCGGGTTCAGTATGAAAACATAGCACATTGAATGAGTGAATACGCCCACCCCCATGCCTCCTATCCGAGCCAGGCTCTGACTCATGGCGTCCAGCTGATCGTCCTGCTCCCTGTACTCGTTACAGGGGGCTTCAACATCAGAAAATAGCACACGATGATGTAAAAAACAGGATACCTTGTGAGAAAAAACAGGCCTCAATTCCACCAATCCGAGTCAGACAAGACTCTCACAATGATTACGTCTAGCTCGAATTGGTCAAATCATGACCACACGCCTAACCCATCTATCTGTCTTATTCTGTTCGAACATACCTCGCTATTTAGCACGTACCCCATAATCAGTGCTTGTCTGTCGTCTTCCGAAGCAGCAAAGCTCTCATCCTCCCCGCCAGCGCTGCTCTTAGCAGCAGCCTTGGCAGCAGCGCCCGCCTGCGCTCTCAGCAGCTCTCTCCTCTCCGCCTCCTTCTGCCTCCAACCCACCTGAAAGCGCCCTCTGCTATACCTCTTTGTAAGCACATAACTCGTTAGCAGTAATTCATCACCATCACCACGTACCTCATTATGAGTGCTTGTCTGTTATCTTCCGATGCAGCAAAGCTCTCGTTCTCCCCGCCAGCGTTGCTCTTAGCAGCAGCCTTGGCAGCAGCGCCCGCCTGCACTCTCAGCAGCTCTCTCCTCTCCGCCTCCTTCTGCCTCCAACCCACCAGAATGGATGAACCCCCTGCTGTACCTCATTCTAAGGACATACCTCGTTATTAGCAATTCATCACCATCACCACATACCTCATTATGAGTGCTTGTCTGTCATCTTCCAAAGCAGCAAAGCTCTCGTTCTCCCCACCAGCGCTGCTCTTAGCAGCAGCCTTGGCAGCAGCGCCCGCCTGCGCTCTCAGCAGCTCCCTCCTCTCCGCCTCCTTCCGCATTGCCGCCCGCTCAATGAACCTTCATAACAACGGCCCTTCTGCTCGGACCCTTCCGCTAGAAACTACCCTTCTGCTACCCGCATCCCTTCTGCTACCTACAACGCCCGTTACAGCTACTATCATACCTCATAATGAGTGCTTGTCTGTCGTCTTCCGAAGCAGCAAAGCTCTCATTCTCCCCGCCAGCGTTGCTCTTAGCAGCAGCCTTGGCAGCAGCGCCCGCCTGCACTCTCAGCAGCTCCCTCCTCTCCGCCTCCTTCTGCATCGCCGCCCGCTCCGATGCCGCTGCCTGGATGGCAGATCGAATCATGGAGATCTGATCCCGCGTGCTGCCTGTCCACTTGCGTCTGCTCTCCACCTCGCCCTGCTCTATGTTGAAGCGCGATGGGTCCCTCTCTGCCACGCCTATTGCTCGGTCCAACTCCTCCAACTGTAACAAGGTGATGGAACAGCACATGGTAGGTAGGTAACATGGTAACTAACTTGCGTCTGCTCTCCACCTCGCCCTGCTCTGTGTTGAACCGGGATGGGTCTCTCTCTGCCACGCCTATGACTCTGTCCAACTCCTCCAACTACCAAGAACGAATCAGGGGGGAACGGACAGACAGTTAGACGAGAGAGAGGAACATTAAAACTGCGTCTACTCTCCACCTCGCCCTGCTCTATGTTGAATCGGGATGGGTCTCGCTCCGCCACACCTATAGCTCTGTCCAGTTCCTCTAGCTGCCAGGAGGGAATCGAATGGGACAGACAGACAGACAGCCAGTGAAACAAGATATTAACATTCAGTGTATGTTTTTTGAGAATTCTCAAAAGACAGACAGCCAGTGAAACAAGAGATTAACATTCAAATTGCCGGCTCTCCACCTCGCCCTGCTCTATGTTGAAGCGGGATGGGTGGGTCCCTCTCTGCCACGCCTATGGCTCTATCCAACTCTTCCAACTGTAAAGTGGGAGACGGGAAATGGGATAAGTCAGAAGGAATAAGAGGCACAGCACAGAGTAGGGTAACATGGTAACTAACTGCTGTTTGCTCTCCACCTCGCCCTGCTCTACTTTGAAGCGTGACGGGTCTCTCTCTGCCACGCATATTGCCCTGCCCAACTCCTCTAGCTGGACGGAGGGAATGTGAACAGGAAGAGGCAACCAGACAAGCAGACATTTTGTTTGAGGTTGATTTTGAGAATTCTCAAAATCAACCTCAAACAGAATGTGAACAGGAAGAGGCAACCAGACAAGCAGACAACCAGACCGATAGGAATGAAAGGGATTGCAAGATGAAGCACGAGTGAAGGAGATCAATTTGCTCACCCACCTCCCAGCACCACCACCCACCTCCCAGCACCACCACCCACCTCCCAGCACCACCACCCACCTCCCAACACCATTACCGACTTCCCAGCACCGCCACCCGCCTCCCAGCACCACCACGCACCTCCCATTCGAGCGTCTCTGTGTCGGCTAGTATTGTCTTGGAGAGCGTCTCTCTCTCCTGGCTGCTCGCCCCTAGCCGCTCCCACTTGCTGTAGTCATCCTGTACCTTGGACACCTGGAGGCGCGGGGAGAAGGGGGAAAATGGGGGGAAGGGAAGGGAAAGTGGGACAACTACTAGTCAGCACTCGTTCCCTCCCACTTGCCGTAATCATCCTGTACCTTGGACACCTGGGGAGGAGGAGCGGAATGGGAGGCGGCGAGAGGGGGAAGGGAGAGGCGGGAAATGTGAGGCGGAAAGGGTGAGGCGGTCTCTCTCCTGGCTGCTCGCCCCTAACCGCTCCCACTTGCTGTAGTCATCCTGTACCTTGGATACAGGGGGAAAAAGTGGGAGAGAGGGGTGGTTTGGGGTAGGAAGAGGCAACACCAGGTAAACGCCAGGTGATGGTGAAATGACAAGCTTGGGGTGACACAAGCTAAGGGTGACACAAGCTTAGGGTGACACAAGCTTAGGGTGACACAATATTAGTGTGACACAAGCTTAGGGTGACACAAGCTTAGGGTTGCACACGCTTAGGGTTAGACAAGCTTAGGGTTACACAAGCTAAAGGTTACACAAGCTGAGCGTTGCACAAGCTAACGGTAACAGGACCGAATCCTGGCGTGCTTATCGCGGCTGCGAGTGTCATTTTTGAGACGTCTCAGTGAGCGTTGCACACGGTAAGGGCAACAAGACCTACTCTTGGCCTCCATATCGGCTCGCGCGATTGTCATTGCCATTCACGGCACGTTAGGTTTCACGAACCGTGCACAATCCTGGACTTCGCATTTCGCTCTGATTCGAGCCAGCACCGAAGACCTAGATCTCATCACATACCAAATCATGTGTTCCTAGAATGTTTACACCTAGCTTCCATAAGATACGGAATCCTGAATGTCGCTCTGCTATTGCTGTTACACCTAGATTCCATAACATGCGAATTCCTGAAATTCGCTCTTTTAGTATGGTTACACCTAGATTCCATCGCGTACCGAATCCTGTAACCTAGATTCCATCGCATACCGAATCCTGTATTTCGTCCCGGACGAGGTAGAACGGGTCTTGCGCTGCCATCACTAGCAAGCCGTCCGCGGCCCGCAACACCACCTACCTACCTACCCACTACTCCAGCACTGACTGATTAGATTCCTTACTGAATAGTACTGACAAATTCCTCCTAGTTAGGTCAGACCACCAACCTATCCTGTCCTGTCAAGCAAGTCAGGATGATCCACTTAGGCTGCCTAAGCTGCCATGGCGGATTCTAAGATGCTAGGCGCGTACGGTAAGGTTATAGCGGTAGAAAAATGACGGGAATGGTAGTAGTGGAAATGAAGGAACTTGGTCAATTGAATTGTAGTTCATGCGAGCGGTGAACAGCAATCTTCGAACTAAAAAAACTATGTATAATAAAAAACCCGTTGGTTCGACGTTCGTGACTCCATGGCCCAATGGATAAGGCGCTGGTCTACGGAACCAGAGATTCTGGGTTCGATCCCCAGTGGAGTCGAAGTTGTGCAGAAGTCGTTTGGTTTTGCCAATCTTGGGAGCTTTTGCCAATCTTGGGAGCTTTTGCCAATCTTGGGAGCTTTTGCCAATCTTGGGAGCTTTTGCCAATCTTGGGAGCTTTTGCCAATCTTGGGAGCTTTTGCCAACCTTGGGAGCTTTTGCCAACCTTGGGAGCTTTTGCCAACCTTGGGAGCTTTTGCCAACCTTGGGAGCTTTTGCCAACCTTGGGAGCTTTTGCCAACCTTGGGGGCTTTTGCCAACCTTGGGAGCTTTTGCCAACCTTGGGAGCTTTTGCCAACCTTGGGAGCTTTGCCAACCTTGGGAGCTTTCATGCAAACTCTTGGAACACCCCACCTTGAGGTAACCCTCTGAGTGTGTGTGGTGACTTTGTCGGGATTTTGATGCTCAAGGAGAGCATGGGCTTTTTCAACCATGATTATCTACCCAGTCCCTTCGTTTACACTTGGATTGGAACATCAACTTCCCCCTTTTTCGCATCATACAGCATATACCGGCACTGGACCTCCTCAATATATCGGCACTAGACCTTCATTTACATTTGGCACACTTTCTTCCCATTTGCATCAGACAACACCCATTTGCATCATACAACACCCATTTGCATCATAAAATACCCATTTGCATCACGCAACATACGCCAGCACCTACAAAACTCTTAACAGGGACTCATTTGGTACCAAATATCTTCGAACCCGCTATGGCCATATCCATTGCCGATGTAAGCAAAGGTATGAACGTACTGTAAGGGCAAGTCCAGGAGAATCCTTGCTTTCCTGACTCTTGCACCGCCTTCACGCATCTCTTCAACTCCTGGTGGCATGGGATAGCCCAGTTGCCTGCAGAGCAGTAACGATAGGTGTAGGAGACGTAAGGGGTCATGAGCAGGCCGGAATATTCAAGAGTGAAATAAGGGACAACAAGGGACAACAAGGGACAGCAGGCGCAAGCATGAAATTACTGAAAATGTTTGCAGGACACAGGGCATGTAGTAAGCACACCGCTCATTCAAGAGAATAAATGTCAGCTTTCACAGACAACCACATTAAGTGAAAGGACAAGGGTTAGGAGCACACCATTCGCTTCGACACAATTGTCATGCTGCATGCAGCAGTTGTCCACGTCATCACATGGCGCCTGCCCCGGACAGCCACTCCACTTCACGCCGCAATACTTCCCGTAGCGCATGTACAAGACTGGTAAGAGAGTGAGCGAGCGGCAGAAAGGGATTAACAATCTTATTTGAAACCTCTCAAAAATCATGTTCTATCACGTGCTCACGCCGCAGTACTTCCCGTAGCGCATGTACAAGGCTGGTAAGAGAGTGAGCGAGCGGCAGGATGGGGGTATTGCGACAATTTTAGGAATGAAATATGGGATGGGAAGATATGAGAGGTAAATGGAGGAGATAAGGAACAACGGAAGGCCAGTGAATTCAAGACGGAGAGATAAGGAGAGAGACAGAGAGAGATGTTGTTTTCCTTCAGCACTTCGTTCCTAAATCCCATTTCCCCACTTCAGCGTCTCGAAGTACCGAGATAATTTCAGTGACGAATCTCAGTGTGTGGAAAAAGGAGGCGAATGCACAGAGGATCACTCACTACTGCATTGGAACGATCCGCGAGCAAAAAAGATTTGACAGCTGTTCAAGGGAACGCGAGCACGGACATAGGAAAAAGCGGGATGCGGGGGTTCAGCGGGAGCAGCAGACAACGGTAACTAGGTATGAGGAGGGAAATGCTCAACAATGTCGCTACTATGAAACGACGAAAAGGAAGGAAGGATAAAATCGTGAGCGACTCACTCAGAGCACAGTACCCTTAGGCTGGAACCACACGTCAGGATAGCGCAGGAGACAGTGAAGGCCATGAGTAGGCGGAATAAATATAAAAATCGAGGAGCCATGCTGGAGTGTCACGCATGCAGGCAACGGCGGCAGTGGCTCCTCTGGTTGACTGGGTTGCGTTGCGTGATCTACTTACTACTAGTACGAATGAGAAGAGTAATGGGCTGGGCGTCGAGTGGGATGATTTCGATAAGGGCCAACATCATAGGCATGCAAAATAGTCTGGTACCCCTATGCAATTGTATGCAAAACCGTCGATACCTCATTTAAAAGGTAACTACGTATTTACCTAATATCACGTGTTTATTTAACTTAAACACTAATTTATTCCACGCTTGGCTTTGCGCTAAACTATGATTTCTTCGGGCAACTGTTTTCGCCAGATTAGCAACACTGTTCACTACCTGACCCAAGAAAAAAATAAAACCCAATCGGAAAGGGATGCGACTCGGGGAGGCATCAACCCTGAAAACAATGCCCTTTCCCGTGTTGAGGGTTGATCCCTCCCGAAAATGAGTCCAGGTCCCTATGGGTTTTATGTTTTTCGGCCCTGCCCTAACAGTTCCCGGTAGCGTCGTCGTCGTATACTTTCATTCCAACAGAATTTCCCGACAAATGTATTGTGCACATTTAGCGGAAAATTGTTGCCCGAAACAATCGTTGTTAGGCGCCAAGCAGGGCGCGGTAAGAACCACTAAGAAAAGAAATCGAAAACGCAATCGATTTCTTCCTTTTTGTGCTACGTCAGTTGTTACACAGTGTTTTCGAGTGGCGGTACCAGACAAATTTGCGCAGCAGGACTGGGGTATCGACGGTTTTGCATACAATTGCATAGGGTTACCAGACTATTTTGCATGCCTATGATGTTGGCCCTTCCGATAATTATGGGAAAGCGGGTTATTAGATGCCCGTGGAGGGAAAGCACGATATCAGCCAAGGTTTCACTCCTGATTTATTGGCTGGGACCAATGATTTATTGGCGGACCAAAGTGGCTGGCATGAGCAGCCAATAATACTCCTCCGTCGAGCGGCCAACGGAGGTTTGATTTGGGTTCGGAAATCGGGGTTCGTAAATCCAATTCGTGCGACTCGAGCGGAGGTGTACACCAGCCCTGGCCTTCGGTCCGGGACTGGCGCTGGTCTGGAACGCGACCCCACCTCATCTCCAGAAACGCGTTCTCATCTCCTTCAAAAGCTTCCCGTGATTTCAAAGTAAGCGGCCGGTGGGATACATCCTAGCTTAAAAATTCATACCTGTATTTGTCACTCAAAGCGCATATCATAAACTGAGAGGCACTCTGGTTTAGTAATGAAAGGCACTGGTCACTTGGGAAGGTGGAGAACTAGAGGAGCGTCAGTCACATTCTAAGTGCCCAACACCAAAACGTTTAATGCAGTGCTGCTTAATACCACCACGCTCTTACTACATTCCACTTACTACTTGACCGCCTCATTCACAATTCCTATCGTTTTTTCACCCGAGGAAGGTGGTGGAGAACAGCGGAAAGACACATGCTGCAGAGGACGTGCCGAGCTTGAGACATCAGAATTGCAAGTGCCAAAAAGCGCATTTAAGTTCCAGTACCAGACATCTATAGCATCGTGCGTCTGTTTTCACTTGAGGAAGGTGGTAGAGAACCAGAGGAAGACGTAGGTGACAAGAGACGTGCCAAGCTCGAGACTCCAGAAGCCGGGAAAAATGCCCTCTGGGATGAACGGCACGAGGAAGGAACCGGTGATCCAGCCAACCACGAGCGTGGCGAACCTGGGAGGTTGGGTTGGGGAAAATGGTATAGGAGGGTGGGGAGGGAGGATGGATGAAAGGACGTGACAAGGGACATGCAATTGAAGGTCTTCACAGGACGAGAAAGGACTCGGTGATCCAACCAACCACAAGCATTGCAATGGCACATCGATTGACACTCAGGCACAAGGAGAGGTTATGTTACGTGCTGAGTTGCCGATAGCGATGCATGATATGAATAATCACACAGACTCACTTTGATTAACCATGCATGACGTGGTTGTCTTGAAAAAAATAACCAGGGGGGAAGGATGGGGAAGGGGGGGGGGGGGGGGGGGGGGGGGAGAAGGGGAGGAAAAAAGAAACGACACCCTAGAAATAGACACTGACTGAGTGCCTTGCATGTAACGAGGACGGAGGGACCCACATACCCGATAATGAGTGCTCTGGTAATGCTCTTAAGCCGCTCATTAATGAGGTACACTGAGAGGCCCAGAGCTACAGCGACCTGAAACGCATAAGAGGACGGAATGGTGTGCAGGGGCAGACATAGCGGGGACAAGAAGAGGGGTTAGCAGAAATTGAGAGAGGGAAGGGGTGGGGGGGAGAGGGGAGAGAGGGGGAAGAGGGGAGGGGGGAGGGGGAAGGGGGGGGGGGGAAGTTGTGGGGAGGGAAAGAACAGGGCGGTTGAGATCAGAGTTGCGAATTGTGGGAAATTGAGGCGTCTCAAAAGTTCTCACGTGCAGTGATACTCTCGTCTCGTCATAGAACCCTCACCTGGAACACGTGGGGCTGCAATCTACAAGGTTCACGTTGCTGTAACCATCTCACTCTCACCCTCACATGAATACTTTCGACAAACAAGTCGATTTTTTAGGCACCTCTTGAGGCGATTTTTGAGGCGCCTAAAAAATCGGGGGGCTTCAATCGACAGGGTTCACGTTGCTGTCATCTCACTCTCACTCTCACATAAACATTCTTGTCAAACAAGTCTCAAATTGAACATGGGTGCATGTTTTTTGAGAATTCTCAAAAAACATACGCTGTCAAATAAGTCTCACATTGAACATGGGTACGCCTTCCTGATGCTCCAGCCAGCCAGCAAGGAGAGCAAAGAGTACTGCCCACTTTGCCGCCACAGTGAAATTCCTCACGACTACTATCGTTCTAATGTTTGATGTTGGTACCTGGAACGCCGGCCCGCCCTCACCTCAGCAGGGTTAATGATGCTCCAGACGGCGAGGAGAGCAAAGAGCACAGCGTGCTGCGCAATCACTGCCGGCTCATCTCTTCTCTCACGTGAAGAAATCCTCTCGTCACAAAAGCCTCACCTGGAACGCGGCCGGCCCGCCCTCGGCAGGGTTCGTGACGCTCCAGACGGCAATGGAAGCAAAGAGCAGCATCTGCTGTGCAACCGCTGCCAGCTCACTGCACACACAAAACGATACTCTCTCTCTTGTCACAAATGCCTCACCTGGAAGGCTGGCCCGCCCTCGGCAGGGTTCATGATGCTACAGACGGCGATGATGAGCGCAAAGAGCACTGCCCGCTGCACCACCTCTGCCAGCTGAAGCTTCCCAGGGGGGGTTATGCCTTTATCATCTCACTCACCTGGAAGGCGGGCCCGCCCTCAGCAGGGTTCATGATACTCCATACGGCGATGAGAGCGAAAAGCACACCCCGCTGTGCAATCACCGCCGGCTTGGGCACATCCACCATGTCGATGAGCGCCTGGATCCAGGGAGGGGCCTCAGCCACCTTCTTCTTGAGGTCAGCCTGTGGGGAAATTGGATGGTTGGGGTGGAAAACTTCACTTTACTAGACAGTGTGGCATGGCTTGGGCACATCCACCACGTTAATGTGTGCCTGGACTGGATCCAGGGGGGTGCCTCCACCACCACCTTCTTCTTGAGGTCAGCCTGCAAGGGGGGAAAGAAATTGATGGCGCATGCGAGGGGGATTCAGATGTGTGAGATGCCAGCGTGGCTTGGGCACATCCATCCACCATGTTACTGTGTCCTTGGATCCACAGGAAAAGCTCCCGCCACCTTCTTTTCGAGATCAGCCTGTAGGGGAACGAGGAGGGGACGTCGGTACGGGAGAGCAGGACCAGAGAGCCAGGGGTTTTGTGGGAGCCACGTGATAGTTTTGAGACGTCTCAAAACTACACTTATATCACGTGAGAGCCAGGGGTGGAGTGGGAGTGGAGTGGATTGGCAGGTTGTGGTGGCTGTGGAGGTGGAACGGAGAAATCATGGTCAGGATGGTGGCTATCGTCAGGGTTTCGGGTTTAAGGGTCATGGCTGATGTTGCATTGTGTAGACGATGCATGGTGGTAGCGTGGAACCAAACAAGTGCCATGGCACGGTTACATCTCTCTTGGTTACATTCTTTTTCACTTCTTTTAATTTATTTCTGCACTGGTCCCAGCAGATACATATGTGCATCCTGAGTCGACTCAAATAAAATGCTTCACACAGCCCATACACACTGGCTAGAACCCAGCCGCTCCGAGCGTAAAGGTCGAGGCACAGCAACAATTCTCAGTTTCTGAAATCTATTTCCAAATAAAATATCGATCAAGAAACACAATAACGCACTCACCTTCAGATTGATTTTGGACTTCCGCCGCTCTCTAAACTTCTCCGCGATGATTTTGTCGAACGCCTCCTCGATGGCTTCGCGGCTCCGCTCGTGGCCCTTGTACTCCTCCACCAGATAGTTCTTCGCCTCCGTTATCTCCTCCGTCGACGCGTCGCGGCCGAGCCCGAGGCGCTTGTAGGGGTCGCGGGTTCCGATGCGCGGGAACAACTTTGGTGCTTCTGGAGAAAGAAAAGGGAAAAACATGTGGAAATGTTAAATTAAAACAAAAAAAAGGCGTGGAAAGAAGCAAACACGGGAATTGCGAGCCAGAGACTGAAGTCGTTGCAGCAAACTATCTGAACGTGACGGTTGGAGGACGAGTCTTGAGGTACAACATCAACAATCAGAAATCTCAATTGAAGGGGTATACGGTCCCCCAAGCCGCAAGTAAGGATGTGATACTACTTCAGGGGTCGGCCAGACGACATTGAGCAAGAAGAAGAAAAGAAGAGCAGAGTGTAATGGCACGCGGCAGTCAAGAGCGAAATGCGTACCGTCGCCGAAAGAGGCGTCCATCGCACAGACCCACATTGGCGATCGCGACGCCTGGCGAACGCATCTGCGAAGCAACAGACCATAACACGCGGAAAAAAACCCGCAGGAACATCGGTAAATGCCGACGAATGACAATTGTGACGATCTACCGTTCACGGGGAATTGACTTGTAAACGGCAGAAAACGTTCGCTATAAGCACACCTATCATTCCGCCGAAGCGTCAAGCCGGCGCTCAGAGAGCTACTGGCCGACCATCTTCGAGTCCGCTGAGGCTGGTCTGACAACGCTGTGCTCCCCACCGCCACGTACGCAGCCGCTCGTGCAGCCGCAGCCATTTCCCGGCCCTACTAGCTAGAAGCTAGAGGTGTAAGAAACAATCCTCTTGGTATAATTCTTTCGCTAATCGTTCGATTCGAAAACTAGCGAAGAAAGGACGCAACACCAAACAGAGCGCAAGGGATTGACAGGAAAAGCTCTGCTCGCAACAAGCAGGAGCAGAAGTTGCCTCAGACCGTAGATAAGAAAGAGAAGCAAGCGAGTGGGAAGAAAAGTAGAAGAGACCAGGATAGAACTGAAGGTTGAGAGGTGGGTGTCGTCGATGGGAGATGGTCAAGGGTCACAAGAGAAGCAGATAGATAGCGTTCTTTTGGATTGTGCTCGTGGCAGGCGCACGGCACGGGATTGGATGGCGCGTTGGGGTTCGGGTGACACGTGTCGTTGTGTGCTTGCTTCCGTAAGTGGCCGTCTTGAAGGTCATGATAGAGCTACTACAGAATCTCATCCTTAGTAAACTTAATACAGCTGAACAATGCAACTGAATCTATAAGTCTGAATACTACAATCCATAGAACAAACCAACCATTTGATAACCTCTACAAATTAGCTAGACGCCCACTACACTACAAGTTTCTTCGACTGGGGTCGGTGAATGAGCACAGGGCACGAAGAGTGATGCGCACAATAGTCTGAGACACTCCCCAGCAGCAAGCGCTTGGTCATGCCCTTGCCATGGCTGCCGATTACAAGCAGATCAACATTCTCCTTCTCCACGGTGCTAATAATTGCCTCCCTGTTGTCATCCATGAAAAAAACAAAAATAAAATATTAGAAAACACGGTCTGTGGGCTACAACCAGGAACTTCGAAGGAGCTGGAGAAGATATAGAATGTACATAACTCTGGGACTGCATTCTAATAGGGGCATCAGTCAATGAGCAGAGGACTTGCCTTGGATCTCCCTTCTCTTCAATTGTGACGTGCTCCAGACCTTTCTCCTCCGCCAGCTTCTTATACTCCTCCAGAATAGGGTTCTCAGCGCCAGCTAATAAAAAAATGGCAGAAAGGGAAAACAAACAACCCTCGGAATAAGGCCTCGGGAAAACACAATGGTCGGCGAACTAAGCGGTCAGGTGCACGAAGAGTTTCATTACAAGTACAAACGTGTGTCAACTCATAATGACTCAAGCTATACCGCTGACAGCTGCTAGCCAATTGGGGTGCGACGGCCTTGAATGTTAGCGCATATTGGACCTTGTGTATTCAAAGACCCATGGTATTCTTGCCTTCAGTGAAACATACGTCTCAGATGCATAAGAATCCCATTCTGCAGGCCGAATGACTTCTGTAAGAAGGTATGCCATGCGTCAAAACGAAACAGGAGACTTACCATCGCCGCTAGCAGCTCGGACGTTGAACAGCACCACCAGGTCCTTCTCCGGTCGGAAGATCTTTGCGACGGCGAAGTCGAACGCCTGGCGGCTAAACTCGCTGCCGTCAAGTGCCACCATCACCTTCCGCTTCTTCACAACAGTCTCCTCAGCCATCGCAGCAGTGAGAGATTGAGTTTAACGAATAAAAGGTTCTCAACGAAGGTGGGCGCAGAAAACGAGAGTGATGCAGGCAAATAAAACCTAATGTCAAAATGCTCAACAGAAACCAAGAAATGGTATGTAGAGAACTATGAGCAAACCTGGCATGGCTCTGGGAGATTTTCAAGATTCAGCTGCCTTGGGGTTGGGCTTGGGCCATTCGCCAAACAACCCTTTCGTTAGCATCGTCGTGCTCGCACGTCCTCGCGAACCCGATGTTTGACACTGACTGTTACAACAACTCTTGCCTGGGTTTGGCGGCTGGCTGAAGGACGTGGCGGTCCAACTCAGACTTTTAGCAGACAGCGCTGCATTTTGATTGGAGCATGCAGAACAGTGACACACGACGGACCCTTGCTGAGGCTGGCTGCACGTGCCCGACCACATCCTCACCCTCACCGAACTTCGTTATAACGCAAGCTCATCCAGCCCAGCTTATAAAAAACAGAACAATGAAACCTTATTGATGGATCTATTAACACTACTACAGGATGGTGCCCGATGCAAACTCGGCGAACTTTTCCTTGACCAATGGCGACGAGTTGAGGATGGAAAGCCCAATACCACGTGCATTCGCCAAGGGGAATGTGTCGGTGGCAAACACTCGCTTCAATGAATCCATGGCTCCCATCATGGCAATATTGGCACATAGGCGTTCCCTTTCGTATGACTTCAAGAGCGCCACCTGTAACAAACAACCAGCAGGACGTCATTCCACATAATACCTACGACCTGGCGATTGTTGGAGAACAAAAAGATCGAAAAAAAATCCAACAACAACGACGATCAATGTAGGTTGACTGTAGTTTGACTCACCTCTCCAATGTCCTCTCCAACTTCCACCAGTTTTTCCAGCACTGTTACAAGTGCCGCAACATCCCCGAATCCCAGGTTGGCTCCCTGTCCTGCCAGAGGATGCACCGTGTGTGCTGCATCCCCCACAAGAGCACATCTCGGTGCAACATAAGAGCCGGCATGCTGTAGCGACAACGGGAACGAAAGAACCTTGCTTCGAGCCGATAAAACTTCCGGAGGCATAATAAACTTGTCCGTATCACTAAAACTGTAGAGGGGATTAGAGGGAGATTGTCTCAAGAATGATTGTAGGGAGAATGCAGATGCAATAGCAGAAGTAAATGAGTTCCCTGCTGCTGCAGCAGCAGCAGAAACAGCTTCCGCAGCTGCAGCAGCAGCGGCAGCAGCAGCGGCGGCAGCAGCACCAGCACCAGCAACAGAAGCAGCAGAGGGAAGCACAGAAGGCAGCTTTAAACCCCCTTGAGAGAGCCCAGGTGCTGGAAACTCTTTACTGAACGCCTCATTAACTGCATATGCGAATTCCTCAGGGCTCATGGACTGTAGCTTAAGGGCGTGTTCTTCGGTGGTCGACCACACGACATTACTGAAGTGATCCCCCAGGGGGAGGAGGGCGAGAGGGCCTGAAGGGAGGAACCGCTGCCAGGCTGTGATGCTGGGGGAGGCGAGATCAACGGTTGCGATCACTCCTCGCTGGTGGTACGGCCATCCGATGGTGCGGAGGTGTGCGAGGGAACGGACACGTGATCGAGAACCATCAGCTCCGATCTGAAAGGAAGAAGGGGGGTGGAGGGACGGAAGAAGCGGGGGTGGAGGGACGGAAGAAGCGGGGGTGGAGGGACGGAAGAAGCGGGGGTGGAGGGACGGAAGAAGCGGGGGTGAAGGGAAAGGGGGGAGCGGGGGAATGGGTCAGGGGGGAGGGTGATGATGCAGAAGAGGCAATGCAAATGAGAGAGAGAAAGTGGGGAGGGAATGATGACGTAGAACAGGTGACGCAGACGAGAGAGAGGAGGCGGGGGGGTTGAATGATATAGAAGAGGTATACAAATGCGAGAGCGAAGAGGGCGAGGAGCGAAGATGAGGGCGAAGAGGGCGGGGGGTGATGATACAGGGAAGGAGATACAGATGAGAGAGCTAAGGGGGAGGAGGGGAACAGGCAGACGGGTCTGAAAAAAATAAAAAAAGGCATGGGTTTTTTCACAAAGGAGGTTGCACAGGATGACGAGGCGAAGGTGCTTACCACAAGCCTTGCTCGAATGGGTGGGCGACCTTCGAAGAGGATCTCTGCTAAACCATCCTCATCCACACCACCATCCTTGTTCCCAGTGCTGCCCTTAGGACCGAGAGACCCTGGCTCTGATGTGACTGAATTGAGAGTGGCATTGGCGACGGAGACATAAGGCTTCGGCCAGTTGATGGTTTGGAGCTTTGTTGGAGCGATGAGGGACACGGAGGTATGGTCCTGCATGGGTGCGGATGGGGAGAGGGGAGAGGATTCTTGAGGCGAATGTGGACTTACACGGCTTGCCAGTTGATGCTAGGGCTTTGTTGGGGAGATGAGGGACAGGGAGGGATAGGTGCGGACAGAGACTGCTGGCAAAAACATGCTTCACAGCGAACTCGTTTTATACCAATTGATGGTCTGGACTGGACTTTGTACGCGCAGGCCGTGATCGAAGCTCCCAATGGTGAGAGAAGACCGAGAGACATTGAAGACTCAAATCGATTGTACATTGCTCCTCAATGACTTTGTTTTTTGCACGAGATGACACATTCAGATACTTCAGGTTTTGATTAGGGGGCGATCAGACTGATACGATATAAGCTGATGAAAACTGCGCTTCGTCGCCGTCTGTGAGTACTTGTGAAGTGCGGCCGCAGGCACCCACCTGTATTCTTCGAAGAAGGCTGCTGACGATCAATTTATTCTCTACTATGTACCTGAGTGCCGCAAGTGGATGGTCGGTGGGATGAAGTTGAAAAGGGATGGATAAGTGGAACTGAGCAGATGAAAATGAGTGTAAACAAACAATATTTGAGACGTCTCAAAGAAGCTGAGCAGATGAAAACGAGTGTAAAGAAACAGGAAATTTAGAACAGCTTGGGAAACAGAAAAGCAATGTTCCTTATGTTCAGCACAAATGTCATAGGGACAATGCGGACGCTAAAATGGCATGGCATGGCATGCTGAAAGGCAGCACGACAACCCATGTAAAAAGCATTGAATGATTTAGCATAATTAGGAGATAAAAGTCACCCTAGATATGGTAAATGGCTCGCAGATGCATTGAAGCGAATGAATCCTGGCCCAGCAAAGTCCCACACCTAGAGAAGGACGATAGAAAGAACAGGGCAGGAGCAGAACACAAGCAGGACACACACGCCAATGGACCCGAGAGCTGGAATGGGAAGTTGTACGTGGTTCCAGAATGCATGGATTGCTGTAAGCTTGACGCGAACGCATGGTTGGGATCAAAGGGTGACCAGACAGACACGCAGAACCATGTGAATAGACTCTTATTTTTACAAAATCAATAATAATGAACACGGTAAAGATGCAGCAGTGAAATCGGCACACACCTGCATGTGCTGGAACGGAGCAGCACGGACTGTGTCGGATGCAATGTCATCCCACACGCCCACACCTGCAAGGATATGAACACAACACTGTCTTTTAAAGCCCGCGCCTAGAATGGCAAGGGTTCATAAAAACTGACGAATGACGAGATTACTTCGCAATCTCACGCTCTGGATGGATTAGAGAGAATGAGAACCACGCGGCAACAATAATCACTCACAGGTTGTCGATGCAGAAAGACCCATACGCACACATCAAGAGGCGACTCACACTTGAGGAGGTCGACGGATGACAGATTCACAGCGATCACTCTCGCATCAGGAGCTGAACTTTGCATTGCCCCAACAGAAGCAGGTGGTTTTGGAGATTTATCAAAAACCGCAGGGGTGACTCACGCTTGAGGAGGTCAATGGTTGATGGATTCACGGCGATCACGCGAGCCTCAGGAGCTGAACTTTGCATTGCCCCAACAGAAGCAGGTGGTTTTGGAGATTTATCAAAAACCGCAGGGGTGACTCACGCTTGAGGAGGTCAATGGTTGATGGATTCACGGCGATCACGCGAGCATCAGGAGCTGAACTTTGCATTGCCCCAACAGAAGGCGTGCTGCTGCTGTGGGAGGCGTGTCGCGGTGCTTGGCTGAGAGGGAGAGCGTCAATAAGTGCAATGCGGAGGCCACTCGTGAGTCGACTGGTGGCTGCAGGAGTACAAATCGGGAGGAGTAAGGGAGGAGAGGGAGACGGCTTAGGGTTTAGAGGTAGCACCAAAGCTCACTGAGTTTAACAAACTAGTGTAATTAGGTCGCAGGTTAATCAAGATAGAAGAATCAGCAGCCAAAAATCAAGGAATCAGCACTATACAGTAACAATAACATGAACTTACAGAGTGCACATGCTGCCGCAGCGCCAATGAGACCTCCGCCAACAATTGCCACATCAAACACTTCTCCACCGCTGCTTCTGTTGCTGCTGCTGCTGCTTCTCATGCCCGTGCTATCTCTGCTGCTTTGTTTGACGCCGTTAGCAGTGTCACTGCCGTCTTTGAGAGTGCTAGTGCTGCTGCCATGGCTACTAGCGTCTGGGGGCTTCCCTGCAGCGATATCCGATGGTGTTATACACGCCTTCGGCGCTGATGGTGATGCGGACGTGGACTCACGTAGACCGCTCGATACAAGCCTGATGTTCTGAAAGCATAAGTGACGTGAGAGAATTGCATATACGAAAGCTTGAGAAACCAAGTAGGTGACTTATGCGTCGACTTGAAAGTCACCTAATGTTCTGGAAAGCAGTGATTACGAATGAATATTGCACGGATGGAAACCCGAGAGACCAAGCGGAATGAGACGATGTAGATGGAACTCAACGCACACGAAGGATGTAAGGAGCGTCAGTAACCGAAGCGGTTATGCGAGTCCATGTCTCTCCAGCAGCGGCTTTTAACGGGCATGGTGATCTAAAACCAGCGCGAGACAGCCTCCACATGATTAGAACGGCAGAGCCTCGCTTTACGTAGAACAAATGCTCTCAGCGTCTTTTGGTTATAGTGGAGCAATGCCTGACTAAGTATTGACAGAATTGCAGGCTTCTATGCTGATCATGAATTCCAGACTGCTTTGCTTCTAGTGTGGTAACTGGATAACTACGAAGCCTAGATCCCTGGTTCCAATCAATTAGCGGACAGTTGCGACATTGACGATCGTGCTCCGCGTTTTTCTGACTTCGCATGATCAAATGGAGTTTTGCCAAAGATTCTTCTGTTGGTTTCTCCCCAGATAGGGGGAAATATCTTCTGCCACCACGAGCTAGTCTCGAGGCCCACTGATTGGACAACAACCTCTGCTCTGGGCCAATTCCACCACCAGCTGACGTGGTCCCGAGATGACATCAAACGCAACAAGCACAGCACGCAAATCTCCCAGGCGACTCTGGTACTGTCATGGGTTTCGCCACTGCAGGTTACTCTCCTGGGTGGTTCGCTCGTGCATTGAATCTCGCCATACCACCCGGCGATGTAAATATTGATCGTTCAAGTGCGGCTCAAAACAGTTTGGACGTTTTCAAAAAGGTTCCATAACAAATTATCACGGTCAAGTAGGTAACACTCCTTAGCTCCCCGTCCCTCCCCCATCTGTTTTCTCCGCTCTGTTCCCCCACCTTCGTTCTTCCGCTTGCCTCCCCAGCAGTTCCCCCGTTCCCTCCCCCTTCCAACCGCACCCAACGCCCGCCCACACCTCCGTTATGCACTTTGCCTTCTCACCCCAGCCAGTCTAGAACCTAGATACCTTCGTTTCATGCATATTCCGTTGTCAGATTTCTCGCCGCTGCCAATCCATCTCCTCCATTCCGATTATTCCGCCGCTCTTCCCGCCATCCGACGCCTCCATCACTTCCATTCGCTCCCCGCTTCCATCGGTGCCACGAATAATACACTCGCGCGCGCTTAGACCAGATCCGTTAGTTCCAGCGTCCTTCCATTCCATTCCAATTTCTACCAGGAGAATTCGTTAATCACTTCTTTTTTTAATCCCTGTACGTGAGTAACAAAGGCAACATTGCAGTGATCCGTCGTTTCGCTGTTTCCACCTCCTTCACATTGTCCCTCAGTTTTTATAAGCGCCACTAATATCGTCGTCGCGGCTCGTTCGCCAGGTAATATCATCCCCATGGCCTCTTCAATTGCTCGGCTTGCGGCGAGGCGGCTGGCCGGCCTGCCGGCGAACCCGGCTGAGGTGGTATGGCGGCGGGCGATGGGAACCAAGGTGCTGGAGGAGCAAGAGCACGCCGTTGAAAACGTCTACTTCCAGGTGCGTTCCTCTATCGGGTTGTGCTTGTAACGAAGTGTGCGTGTGTATTGTATCTCTCGGAAGTGTCATTTGAAGTGGTATGGTGGCTGGCGATGAGATGAGATGAGCCAGGGCAAGGTGCGAAGGAACAGAGCACTCTGTCGTAAACGTTTACTTCCGTGTTTGTGCCTTTCGTGGATTGTGCGTGTAACGAAAAGGGCTAGTAACGGGTATGCGTCGCGAATGTCGTCGTAGCTGGTATAGCAGAGCGCAGTGAGCGCAGGACGCGATGAGCTATGGCGGGAAGGTGAGAGAGGAGTATAGGAACACGCTGTAGAGAACGTTTCAGAGGTGCGTGCTTGTTAAGGGGGTGGTTCTCCCACATAGTGCTCTCGTGAATTAATAGTCAACGCTTGGTCTCTGGAAACACATTAAGATCATACGGATAAGGTCATTTGTTGTGCATTTCCTCTTTTCACATGATTTGCATGGATTTCTCCTTCTCTTCTTTCTTTTCTGCATGAACTTGCCCTCCACGTATGTGTTGCGTACATTTCCTTTCTTCCCATGTGTTTCATGCATGTTTTGCCAAATGCACTGTGGTTTGGATTGTGTCTGTGCTGATGTTTTTGCGCATCCATCCATTCATGCATGCAGAGAGTTGAGCACGAGAAGCTCGAGAAACTCAAGGCTGTAAGTCCCTTCTGCCCGTCGCTGCCCATGCTTTGACCGTCTTTTCTTCTCCTGGTTTTTCTTGCTCCTCCTTGCTTCTCCTGGCTCCTCGTTGCTTCTCCTTGCTTCTCCTGGCTCCTCGTTGCTCCTCCTTGCTTCTCCTGGCTCCTCGTTTCTCCTCCTTGCTTCTCCTGGCTTCTCCGTGCTCCTCCTTGCTCCTCTCACTCATGAATACCCGTTCCGACGCCAAACATTCATACTTCACTTTCTATGCAACCACCCTGGATTTCACCATCCTATTTCTTCCTTCCTGGGCCGCTGCTCGTCCATTCCCTGACCCCCTTCACCTCCTATTCACCCACTCCCCTCCCGTCCCCCTCTGGGTGCATGGAAAGCTATCACACTCCAGACTGCCAAATAGGGACAGACTCTTTGTTCCCATAGCCGTTCCCCATAATCCCCACGCCTTCCCATACCCCCGCAGCAACTGGAGGCAGACTAGGAGGAGGCCGTTGCTCATGCAGCATCGGCACACGCAGCTCTCAAGGCCACCAGTCCACCACACTAGGGTTGTGCTTCTCCTAACCCCAGGCCCTACTCTTACCCTTTACCCATTGCTTGCACCTTCCCATACCCCCGGCAGCAACTGGAGGCTCACAAAGAGGAGGCCGCAGCTCATGCAGCATCGGCGCATGAGGCTCTCAAGGCGGCTAAGGAGGCTCAGAAGGCTGCCGAGTCTGCGAAGCCAGCTTCGGACGGAGGCTCGGCTAGCACCATGTCGTTTGCTGCGGGCACTGTTGTTGGTGGCCTGCTGGTGTGGCTGCTCAAGCCCTGATCAATTGACAATGTCCCTATATTTGTGAATGTGGAGTACAGTACATTCTTTAGGGTCTTACTCAAATCGATGGCCTGCTGGTGTGGCTGCTCAAGCCCTGATCAATTGACTATGTCCCTAAATTTGTGAATGTGGAGTGCAGTACATTCGTTAGGGTCTTACTCAAATCGATGTCCTGCTGGTGTGGCTGCTCAAGGCTTGACAGTGTCCCTTGTGGAATACGAAAAGGAGGATTCACTTGTTGATACTAATTCTTCGGGTACATTCCGCTCTGGACATGTCCCAATCGTACATTGGACCATTGGGTTGGACTGATCCCGTCCCTCCTCACTAAATCTCGAAACGGTAGTTACCTCATGAGAGTTTCGCGAAAACATTTCTCCTGAAACCAGCTTTTATGGCACTTAGTGTATGTTCTTCGCTTTCAGACTGTACAGACTGCGATATCGGTCATTCTTGTAACGAGCCAACTTTCTATGAACAAACATTTCTGTCAGCATGCAAACCTTCGAGTTTAGCAGCGAATTCGTCAGACTCTAGAGAGTATTTGCATTCAGGCCAAGTTTGACAAACAGACGAGCATCTTTCGCTGCGCTCAGGCTTCGAACAGAACCGGAATAGCCTGAATGTGGAGCCTGAATATCTAGTCTGGACTCTGAACGTCCGCCGGTTTAGTAACGTCGGCTGTCTGTTGCTTGCGTATTTCGTATATCTTAGTCAACCGCCTGACTCTCTGCAACGCGTTCAAACATGTCGGCTGATGCTGATGCCGACGTGGAACAGCTGCGAGCGTTTATTGAAACGTGTCCGCTTCTCGACCACCACTGCCACTGCCTGATGGAGTTAGAACCTCCCGTTACAGTCGCATCTCTCAGCGACGCGCTCCTAGGATCACTCACGGAAGCGCAGGGTAAAGCGCGAGAACAGGCAGTACACTGTATCGCCGTTAAGGTACCATGTTCGATACAGGCTACTGACGGTTTCCTGCATTCGCCTTTGACTTCTCGTTCTCACGTCCTCTTTCCCTCATTGGTCGTTCTTCTCTCCCATCATATTCACAAAAATTTCAAACCAGTGTGTTTAGCACCCCAGGCGCCTCAAAGTCGGCTTTAAGACGGGTTCTCTCCTTCCTCTTCCCCCTCTTTCCACCACCATCCTTCCGACCTCTACCAC